GACGGGCTTGAGCGGGCGTCTGAGGGGTCCGGCGCTCCCCAGAAAGGAGGAAGGATTCTGAGCCGTCCTGGAGAAAGGGCGCCCTGCTGTGCACGGCCAGCGCCTCCCCCGAGGCCGGGCCGAGGCCGACTGTGCGCAGGACACGCTGCTGTGTCGGGACCAACCGCGTCCCTGGAGCTGGGGCCCGGGGGCCTGGGCCTGGAGCAGCCGGGACTCGGCGCCACCCCGGCCGGCTGGACGTGCCTGCACCTGTCGGATCTGCGGGGCTGAGTGACGGCGAAGGTGGCGGCTGGCGCGGGGGTGCGGGGGCTTCGCCTGAGTCCTGGCCCAAGTGAGGGTGAGCGCCACCCCCGCTGCTCGTCCCCATGCAGGCCATCCCCGGGTCCTTTCTCCTCCCCTCACGGGGCAGAGGCTGCTTCACCAGGACGTGGGTGGGGACCCCAGTGCACTCGCCCTCTCGACTCAGGGCTTGAAGCTTGGCTGTCCCCAGCTGCTGCCGTCACAAGCTCAAACTCCAGAGCTGCTGGCATGGGAGGGGCAGGATGGCCCGATGCCCCCCTCCGCTGGGGACCCGCTGTCTGGTCCCCACCCTGCCTGTCCCCACCCGGAGCGCAGGCCCAGATCCTGCACGCGTCCCTGCCAGCAGACGTGCTGTCCCTCCCCTCGTCACCACCGCCTGGACAGCCTCTCCTCGCCATGGGCGGGCTCTGGTTGGCCGCCAAAACCAGCGGGCAAAACACCAAACCAAACCAAACCAAACTAAAGATCCCACAAAACCAATAAACACAAACCCAAACCCCCAAATTCAACCCTTCTTCTCTGGAACCCGAAACCGCTCTCCATCTAAACCCACAAGGAAACGAGCCCTGCCAACCGCCTCCGATGCCGCCGGCCGGAATCCACCCCGCTCGCCCGCTCGCCCCCCGGGGCCTCCTCCAGCCGCCCAGGGGGCAGAGCCTGGCGCTGCACCTCGCCCCCTGACCCAGGGACGGGGGGACCGATGCTCTGTCGTTCTACAGTTGGCGCCAATTTTTGCACAGCATAGAACACGAACGCGCAATTGATACCAGGAGCTGGAGTCCTTGCGACTATTCATGGGGACAGCGATGCCCTCCTGCTGTGCTTGTCCTGATGGTTAGTGAGGCTGCAGCGGGCACATGGGGGTCGGGGCGGGTGGAGGTTGGGGTGTGTGGAGGTCAGGGTATAGAGGTCGGGGTGCCTGGAGGATGGGGAGCATGCAGTCGGGGCATGTGGAGGTTGGGGTGCGTGGAGGCCGGGGAGCCTGGAGGATGGGGAGCATGCAGTCGGGGCACGTGGAGGAGGTCGGGGTGCGTGGAGGTCAGGGTATAGAGGCCGGGGAGCCTGGAGGATGGGGAGCATGCAGTCGGGGCATGTGGAGGTTGGGGTGCGTGGAGGCCGGGAGCCTGGAGGATGGGAGCATGCAGTCGGGCATGTGGAGGTTGGGGTGCGTGGAGGCCGGGGAGCCTGGAGGATGGGGAGCATGCAGTCGGGGCACGTGGAGGAGGTCGGGGTGCGTGGAGGTCAGGGTATAGAGGCCGGGGAGCCTGGAGGATGGGGAGCATGCAGTCGGGGCATGTGGAGGTCGGGGTGCGTGGAGGCCGGGGCACCCAGAGGTCGGGAGGGGGTCCGTGTGCGGTGACTTGCCCCCGTGTAGTTTGCCCACAGAGGCGGAGCGCGGCCCCAGCACGTGCAGCCTGTGGACACGTCTGACTCACTCAAGACCTTCAGACCCGGGACCTGAGCTGGTCTGGGCCGAGGGCGGGGCTCCGTGCGGGGGCGGGGCTCCGTGCGGGGGCGGGGCTCCGTGCGGGGGGCGGGGCTCTGTGCAGAGGGCGGGGCTACGTGCCAGGGGCGGGGCTCCGAAGGGGGGCGGGGCTCCGTGCTGGGGCGGGGCCCTTGCGGAGGGCGGGGCTCCGTGCGGGGGGCGGGGCTCCGTGCGGGAGGGGGCTCTGTGCGGAGGGCGGGGCTCTGCGTGCGGGGGGCGGGGCTCCGTGCCCGTGGGGGGCGGGGCTCCGTGCGGGGGGGGGGCTCCGTGCGGGGGGGGGCTCCGTACGGGAGGGGGTTCTGTGCGGAGGGCGGGGCTCTGCGTGGGGGCGGGGCTCCGTGCCAGGGCGGGGCTCCGTGCGGGGGCGGGCTCCGTGCGGGAGGGGCTCTGTGGGGGCGGGGCTCTGCGTGGGGGCGGGCTCCGTGCGGGGGCGGGCTCCGTGCTGGGGCGGGGCCCTTGCGGAGGGCGGGCTCCGTGCGGGGGGGGGTGCTCCGCGCGAGCCCTGGGAGCAGGGCAGGAAGGTCACGGCCACGGAGGACCCGCGTCCCCGCCCCGGGCGACACTGACGCTCCTGGCAGCGGAGGCATCGCCACCGGGAGGGGCCACTCGTGTTTCCCTGGCGCTGCCGCAGGGAGAGCAGATCGAGGCTCTGCTGCAGAGCGGGCGTGCGGGGAACGGCGCGAGCACCTGCCCCGGGCGGGCCTCGAACCCAGGGCCCCGGACCGCTCTTGCAGGCCCGGCCGGTGGGTCGCAGGCGCAGCCCGCGGGGGGCTCGGGGTCAGGCCGCGCGGGGAGCTCCCTCCCTCCGGGCTCCGGGGGCCTGGGTTCGGGTGCGGCGGGGCAGGAGCGGTGCACCCGGCGGCTTGTCCTTGGGCTGCGGAGCCCGGGAGCGCCCGCACCTGCACCTGCAGCCTGTGCGCCGGGCGCCGCCTTTGCTGCCTTTGCACCCGAAGCAGCCGCGACAGGACCCCCGGCCTGTCATGCTGCCAACAGCCTCCTCCTGCCTGGACTTCGGGAAGCAGCTCTATCTATCACAGGACATGAGTCTTTTGTCCTCTAGATTTTTTTGGAAAATAAAAACCGAGCAGCATTTCCCCGGAATCACATTTCGTGAAGGGGATGGATTGTGTTCTGATTCGCAGGTCACAGCGACTCGACATGTGGTCCCAGCCGGGCGACTCGGGGCCCCGCACGCGCCCCCGCCCAGGGCAGCTTCCTGGGCCAGAAGTGACCACAAAGTGGGCTTTATTTTTTTTTTTAAGATTTTATTTTTTTATTCGTGGAGACACAGAGAGGAGAGAGAGAGAGAGAGAGACAGGCAGGGGGAGAAGCGCCATCGCGGTGCTGGGTGCCCGGCAGGAACTAAGCCTCCTCGGGCTCGGGGTGTGTTCCCCTGTGGGGCCCAGCAGGTGGTGCTGCCCGCCAAGGAAACAGGGCGTCCTCGGGGACAGTGCTCCCGCCTTTGTCACCAAGGAGAGGCCTGAGCGAGGTCCGGGGCGCTCGTGGGTGAAGCTCACGTGCAACATGCCCAGCACCCCCCGTGTGACCCGATCAGATGCCCCCAAGCAGCTCATGACCTTCGAAGCCCAGGTTTTGGGGACATATGGGGGCAGGTGGGTCCGCGAGGAGCCCCACGGACGGTGTTTCCACCGTCCTTGAACTTTAATTGCCCCGTGAGCCAGAGCAGGTCCCTTCTCGCACCCGGGACTCCGCTGCTCCTCTGAGCAATGAGGGAGCTGCACAAAGTGACCTTGGGGTGACGCCCGGGGCTAACGTCGCCTGAGGCTAATTATCCCAAGGACGCGGCCAGCTTGCAGGGCCATCCTGGGAACAGGGGAGGGGAGCCGGGCCGGGGACACAGGCGGGCTGCTGGAACGCCGCCCACAGGGCCCACGGGCAGCTCTCCCGTGCTCAGGTCCCAACAAACTCACAAATCCTGGCTGCGGACGGCCCAGACGGTCGTGCCGGCAAAGCGCCTGACTTCACGGTGTAGGGATCGCGGGCGACTGAAAGGACGCTGTGACCGTGCTCATGCCCGCTAAGGGTCATCGGGATCGGACCGTCAGTACTTAATTATCCTGGGAGCCCTACAACCCGGGGCTGTTCGTTCTGGCCAATGAGTGTGCATCAGCACAAGGAGCCGGGACACAAAGGACGGAAACAAGATCCCAGGGCAAGGGCTTGACCCCGCAGGCCGCCCGCTGGCCGCGATGCCGGCAGGAGCCCAGGGGGCACAGGGGTCGCGGATAGGATGACCCAGCACCTGTGAGGACCAGGACGGTGTTGGCAGGACGAGCAGAAGGGCTGTGGTGCAAGCGCTTCCTCGGCCAGCGCTCGCTCCTGGCGTCAGGGCAGCCGCTTGGGGGTGAGCTGGTCCCCACCGGTGACCGCGGTCTGCGGCTGGGGCAGGCGCCATGTGCCCGGTTCTGCGGAGGGAAGGCTTCCCAGCTGCTGGCGGCCTGGGCGGGACCGGCCCCCTCGGCGGGGTCGCAGCCTGCCACCGGTCACCTGGTGTGGACCACCGGGGCCATGACATGCTCTGTGGGGACGGCCGGCCCCCGACGGCGGCGAGGCTGGGGGGTACCTGTGTGTGGGGGGAGCTGGGGGGAGCGGCAGGTGCCCAGAGCGGGGCCAGCCCCTGGGGGGCGACACAAATCCCAAGAGCCGTCCTCCGTGCACACCACCCACAGGGAGGGCAGCGGGGGGGACGCGGGACGCAGGGAAGCGGGTGGGTGGGCGGAATCGGTGCAGAAGGAAGAGGAGAGGGACAGACAGACACGAGGGCAGGGAAAGCACGTGTCCCCGTCTGTCGGGCGGGACCAAGAGGCTCGTGAGCGTGCAGGCGCGTGTCCAGGCAGCCCCGGGGAGCGGTGCGCGGTGCACACAGCGGCTCGCGGCCAAGGGCCGACATTCAGTGACCTGAGCTGGAGCGTAACTGGGGCACAGGCAACACGGGCCCTGGTTTGGAAGCAGCCTCAGTGGCGATTTTGGGACCATGAACCGCGGTCCTGACCAGGCCTCTGACGACGGGCAGGTGCCCCGGGCCCGTCCCGCGGGACCGAGTGTGAACGACACGTGACTCCGGCTCGGGAAGCGGCACACACTTTATTAGGTGGAAACGTGGGGGTCGGGGTTGTTTCCAGAGGGAACACCATCCCCCGTCGTGCTGGGGACCGACCTCTGCTCCCGGGAGGCGGCCCGCAGCTGCCCCTGCTCACGCCGGGCTTCCCTGTGCCACGTGGCTCCCACTGGATGTGGGGCCCACGGCCTGTGTCCTGCAGGAGAGAAGAGGTGCTGAGCACACGGAAACCCGTGGGACCCCGGGCCTCGGTCGGGCTGCTTGGGGGCCTGGGGACACGCGTCCTCGGGGTGGCCGAGGGGGCTCGCGGGTGCATTTCCACCGGGCCGTTGCGGGGTCCCTGCCTGGGAGCAAACGCAGCCCCTGCTCTGCAGCAGATGCCCCGGGCACAGGGTGTCCCAGGCCGGGGACCGTCTACGTCACCAAAGGCCGGGGACGCGCCCGGTGACTGCCGGCGCCGCCTCTCTTGCGGTTGTGCGTACAAAGTTTATTAAAAAAAAAAAAAAAAGAGTAAAATCAAGTCTAGACCGGTTGTTTTCACACCTCTTACAATGATCCTCTTTTTTTTTTTTTTTTAAATGCATTTTCAAAGTCAGCCTTTCCTGTCAGCTTCCGGATCGTTGGCCGTCAGCCCTCGGCCAAGACTTGGGGCGACGTGGAGGCAAATGCCTGCGATCGGCCCTCGATTTCAAACTGGTTTGTACACATGGAAACGCATTTCAGGGCGCTCGCTCTGGCTCGCTCATCCTAACTTGTCTACGCTCTTTGAACAGTCGGTGAAAATTTTCACGAACTACCCTTCCCGCATAGATACGGTTTGTATGAGGAGTAAACGCAGAGCAGGAAGGCGAAGTGACCCGACCCGCGGGGGGGGAGCAGCCCGGTCGCAGCACCGGGACCTCCTTGATGACTGGTCCGAATGGGAACAGGCGATGTGTGGCGACCCTCCCCGCGCCCCGGCACGCACCCACCTGCCCTGCGGCCCGAGGGGGGGCACCAGGCTGCCAGAGGCGCCGTCCTGGCCCGCTCCACGGCCCGGCGGGGGGGCTCCTCTTCCGCCCGACTCCGCGATGCTCAGTGAGGCTTTGCGGCCTGCGTGTGCCCTGCGGACAAGCGTGCACCTGGTTAGGGCTGGCGCCCCTCAGAGGAACCCACTAGTGCCCGTCACGCGTGTTCCCTGTGGCCCCTGTGACTGCAGGCGGTGCTGGGCGCCTCCCCGACCGGCCGGGGGGACCCCGGGGCTGCTGGTCCACACAACGTGGCCTGCTCAGCTCTCCCGTCGGCCGAGGGGCACCCGGAGTCCCGGCTGCAGCCCGGAGGAGCGGCCCAGCGAGCACCCCAACCCCAGTCCCGCCGTCCGTATCCCGTCGCACGTCTACTTGGTGCAGAAATGCATTCGGCAAATCACAGTCCCCGGGGGGGAGACGGAGCTGCAGGCAGGCCCCCTGCTGCTGGTCGCCGTGTTAGGTTCCCGGGCTCAGCCAAACGTCACGGGGCGGATGGAAGCGGACAAGCCGGGACCCGCGGGCGCAGAGGACGCCGCTCACGGAGGTGACAGTCCAGTGATGCACGGAGCCGTGAGCGAGAAGGAGCACCGGCAGGGCCTGGGCTGCAGAGGGACGGCGGGGGGCCCAGGGTGGGGGTGCCGGGCGGGGGTGGGGGGTGTGAGAGGGAGCACCGGCCGGGCTGGGCTGCAGAGGGACAGTGGGGAGCCCAGGGCAGGCCTCCTTCCCGACGGCCGCAGCTCTCGAAGCCTCCGTGGGGTCTCCGCCCCTCCGTCTGGATGCAGGGTGCAGGCACGGGCTCCCCGAGGACCGCCCCCGGCGCCCTCCTGCAGCACCCGCCCCAAGGGCCCCCTTAAAGTGGGGTCCCCACTAGGTCATCCTTTGCTCTTTGCCTATTTGTGATTTGCTGCCATTTCCACTGGAGCCCTGAGTCCTGGGATCCATCCACGGGGGCCCGGGTGCATGGGGACAGGGACACGGGTGGCTTCAGTGCACAAGCTGTTCCCATCAGAAGCTCCCTGCGGTCGGCTCAGGCGGGAACACGCGTGTGCACGTTGTGCAGGACGCTCGAGCCCCCTGACGGCCCCGGTCCACCCGGCGAGGCCCACGCGGCCTCGGTGTCTCCGGGGCTGGGAGGGGCAGGCAGGGCCTGGCTCCGCGGCTCACACGTCCCCTCGCTCACAGCCTCGTGAAGGGCCCACGAGCGGGCCTCCGCCCTCCTGCGACGCCTCTGTCCTATCCACTCGAGAGATTTGAGCCTCAACTTCCTGCACATCCGTACCGGCCCCATAAGGATGCCGCGGCTGCGAGGTCCTGACCCCAGGTTGCTTCAGGGACCGGCGTCCGGGGGGAGGCCGCCTGCGCTCCTGCAGCCTCAGCCTCGGGGCTGGGCCCTTCCCCGCACGGCCGCAGGGACAGACCCCTTCACGCGGGCGCCCCGCTCCTGCCGCTGCACTTTCTCCTGGAAGAGCCGTGGCCGTGAGGACCCGAGCCCTCGCCGGCCGCCAGACCCCGGCTGTCCCTCCCGTGGCCCCGTGCTGCGCGGTGTCGGGGCGCGGGTGCGGGCTGGAGGCTGCCCCCTCGGCCGCCGAACCCGGCGGGTAGGACGACACCGTCTCGCTGTCCCCAGGCCGTCGGTTTTGTAGGTAGATGACCTCTGCCTGGAGGCCCCTAAATTGGAGCCCGCGCGCAGGTCGGAGCAGACTCAGCAAGGGGGACGTGTGTCTTTTGCAGGACGATTGGCTGTGCGGTGTCCTTAGTTAACGTTTTATCCACTAAAAACACGAGGACAAGCCACAGCCGGGAGGCGGTTGTGAGTTCAAAGCCGGTGCTCGCTGGGCAGCTGCTGCTGCAGGGCGCACACGGGCGCCTCGGTGACGTTGTCGGCGTCCTCACAGCGACGTGGGAGGTGGACCTCCGTGCCTGGGAGGTCAAGGCGGGCTCTCGGCCGCTGCGTGCGGGGGACAGTCCGGGAGGGAGCGGTCACTCTGCGGTGGGGCGGCCCCTCCGCCGGCACCAGCCCCGTCTCTCCGCAGACAGAGACCTGGCCCGACGCTCACTGCACATCCTGACGAAGAAACAGACCCGAGGGCCCGGTCGCGCCCCGGGGGCTGGAGGCTTCTCCGCTGCTGGGTACCCGGCGGGATTTGACCCCGGCGTCCGTCACGGCGTGTGTGGTCGAGGCCACGGGGCCGCCTGCACTATTACCCCGAGCTTCTTTTTTTTTTTTTAGATTTTATTTATTTATTCACAAGAGACACAGAGAGAGGCAGGGACACAGGCAGGGGGAGAAGCAGGCTCCCTGCGGGGACCCCGATGCGGGACCAGCCTTGCCCTCGGGGGAGGAAGTGGCCTCGCGTGGGCTTCCGGGGAGGACTTACCACCTGCAAACCAGCGTCCAGGTGAGCCCCGCCAGGCCGACGACCAGCACGATGCCCAACGCGATGGAGACCAAGGACGCCTTCGGGAGCCTCCCGGAGTCTGGGGGGAAGGAGCGGGTTAGCCAAGCCCACCCGCCGAGGGCTGCAGCCAGGGTCCCCAGGGGCTCGCCTCTCCCCGCGACGGTGCACACCCCGGGGGCACAGATCTGCCCAAAGGGCCCTTCCAACAGGCTCTCCAGAGCGCGCGGGTGGGGAGAGCGGGTGGAGACCACGGGGTGCCCGCCCGTCTTCAGGCCACAGGCCCTCCCGCGAGGACCGGCCAGGGGGCACACGTGAGCCCCTGGCGGAGGGGCTGGGGACCCGGCCTGCCTCCCCTGGGCTCAGACAGGGGCCGGGCGGGCAGGTGGTGGGACGCGCACTGGGACACCACGAGCTCGCGCCCCTGGCAGCCCCGCCTTGGCGCAAGTGCGTAGAGGGCACACTTTGGGGCACGTGTCGGGCAGGACTCAGAGCCCCGGGTCGGGGCCAGATGCAGCAGGTGTCCCAGCCACAGGGCCGATGTTTGTGAGCAGTGAGCAGGGTTGGCAGGTGCAGAGCGGAAGGGGCGCGTCTGCACGGGGCGAGGCCAGGGAAGGGGCTGCTGGCACCCCCGGGACACGCAGCGTCTCAGCGACGGGACTTGGGGAGCGCCTGTGCCACACCTGGGGGGTCTCTGCCCTGCATCGCCGGCCCCGTGTGTGGTGCGGGTCCCGCACACGAGCCGCCTCCGGGTCTGCCGGGGTCAGCACAGGCCAAGGACAAACACAGGAGGAGGGAAATCCCCTCGCAAGTTAAAGGTTAGACACCGTCGCCCGCGTAAAGCAGGCCCCGCGGGGAGCACGGCGCCCGGGCATCGTCCAGGTGCGGGCGAGAGACACCCGGGAGGGGCTGCCTCGCTCGGCTGTTTCCAAAACAAGAACGAGCCGCGTTCAGACACGCGCACCGGGGTCTGTGCGCCCGGACGGCAGGTGGCAGGTGCGCGCTGTCGGAGAGCTGCCCCGGCCTCCAGGGCGGACAGTGGGAATGGGGGGGGGGGGGCCAAGCCGGCTCAGCGCACCTGGGCCCGCCCGGAAGGCCCCGGCCCTCCCCACCTGCCGGATGTCCCCCAGCCTCCTCGTGGCTGTATGGAGACGGGTCCGAGGAGTGACCTGGGGTCAGTGGTCACGACGCTGGGCCCCAATTCCAGAAGCCGGTGTCCATCAGGACCCCGACGGCACAGGGACAGCAGGTGAGGACACGGCGGGAGATGCCGTCCTCGAGCCTGGGAGAGAGGCCTGGGGGGGCAGCCCTGCCCACGCCTGGGTCTCGGGGCGCACGAGGGGCGGCACGCACCTACACACGTCGTCCCGTCCTCCCCGAGCACCGCAGGGTCTGTGCACTCACACCTGAAGCCACCCTTGGTGTTCCTGCACCGGGCCGACCTGTGACAGGGGGGGTGGCTCGCGTCTTCACACTCGTTGATATCTGCGCAGAGCACATGGGGGGCAGGACACACGGGGGTCAGCACGCGGGGGTCAGCACGCAGGTCAGAGCACGCGGGTCAGGGCATGCGGGAGTCAGGGCACACAGAGGCCAGGCGATGCCCCCCAGCTCCCACCCTCACCTCGGGGCACCCGCACACTCCCTGCACCATGTGGGAGAGACCAGAGCCCCTCCCCGAGCACCCGCTTCCTTCTCTCCGGGTGGCCCCCCGCCCCGAGGTCGGCTCCGCAGATGGCCGGCCACTTTGTGCCCGCGCTGCACGGGGTGAGCCTGATGCACGGGAGGCCCGGCCGAGGCCGAGGCTGATCACGTGGGAGCCACGCGCTCGTGCTTAGCGAGAGGCGAGCAGCTGGGGCGCCGCCGGGGTGGGCGGTGGAGTCACGGTGCTGTGGGCAGCGGCGCCTCGTCAGACGTGGGGCCAGAGCCTCCCTGGGGACGCTGGCGCCTTCCCCTCCGGGGAGCACTTGGCCGTGCAGGGCAGGAGCGCGGGCCGGGCCGGGGCTGGGTCTGTGCCCCCGGGTGGACGGATTTCCAGCCCCGCGCTCACCCTCAGCGAGGGAGCCAGGCCTTGGGCCACAGCCTCGACCCTGCCCCTGCCCCTGCCCCTGCCCCTGCCCCTGCCCCGCGGGGCAGCACTGGCTGCGTCCTCGACTCCCAGGCCGCCGAGGGTGAGCCGCCGTCGGTGCGGGGGCGGGGGGGGGTGCTGCCCTGAGCCCCCTGCTGGCTCCTCGACATGTGCTTCCAGGTCACTTGCCGCGTCAGCTTTTCCTCAAATAACGTCTCTTTTCTGGCCAGTTCCAGGGAACACAGCGGTCTTGGTGTCGAGACCACATGTGTTACGGGCGACGGAGCGCGTGGTGGGTAACCAGGACACGCACCGCTGAGCGCTGGGCCGACCCGTGTTGGGGGAGCGACGTGACACCAGCTGGGCCCTCGCCCTCGTCCCGGACCCTGTGCCGCCCTCACTCTTGCAGGAGGTGGGGACGGGGCGCACGGGGACTCGCCGGGGGAGGTGACCCCTGCAGGGCTGGGGCATGACCTGAGCGCAGTGGCGGACGGAAGCCCCCGGCGTTGTCCGCGGAGCACGTGAGTGTGGGGTGCGGGGCGGGGGTGAGGGCGTCCCCCCAGCCGGACTTGTCCCACGTGTACTGGCCGTAATCATACGCCCTCGAGGCGTCGGGGTCGGGGTCGGGGTCGGGACTGCAGCGGCCTTCAGGGGACACGCTTCGCCCGGGTCAGCGGCCCCATGTTTGTGGTCTCCCGGCCGGGGGAGCCGCAGGGCGGGGGACAGACGTGCACTGGTCTCAGCCCCGCCGAGTCCCCCAGTGCCGAGCCCCCGGGGCTGCGTCCCCCCGAGCACAGGGTGCTGGCCGGGGCCGCACTGTCCCGGACGGAGCCGTGGCTCCCGGTCCTCAGGGCGGCAAGGACAAAGGGCTGCGACACCCCGCCCGTTACCCGCTCCGCATTCCCTCCGGAAAGCCCTCGTCGCTGCTCATCTGCCAGCTTCTCCTTCCCTCAGCCTCCGTGGGGTGGGGGTGGGGGCCGGGCGGGGGTGTGGGGTGGGGTCGGGCGGGGGTGCGTCGTGCAGGAGCAGCGTCCAGGGAAGAGGAGAGCGTGCGTCTCCCCGGGTCTGCGCATTAAATCCTGCCGTGAGCCCGGCGCTCCGTACTGCGGCCGTGGCCATGCGCGGTGGCTCGGGGCCCCCGGGTGACAGGCGAGCAGGAGGTGGCTCACGGCCCCTGGGTGACAGGTGTCGGGAGGCCTCTAAGGGCCCCTGGGTGACAGGTGTCTGGAGGCAGCTCGGGGCCCCCGGGTGACAGGTGACAGGTGTTGGTCGCCCACTGGCGCCGGCGTCCTGGCTGCACGTCCGCAGCTGCATGCCCGGGGCCCAGGGGGATGACACGGCGGGTGTCGAGCCTGCTCCGGGCTGTTCTGGGTGGAGCATTTCTTTTCGGTTTCGGTGGAGACACTGTCTCCGGAGGTCCTTCCTGTGGGTCCCTGGCTCGTCCCCTCCCCTGCCCGCGCCACCCTGACGGCCGTGCTGGGACGGGCCCGCCGCTCGCCGAGGAGAGACCAGTGGGGCGCGTGGTGGCCGGGAGGGAGCGCTCCTCGGTGCCCCAGCGGGTCCGCGGCCCATCGTGACGCGCAGAGGCCCCTCCTGGTGAGCGACACGGGCCCTTACCTCCCGTCTGAGGACCGCCGATTTGGGGGTGAAGTGAGTAAGGCGCGTCCTGGAGGCCACTGACCTCTGCACACGGGGGCCCGGACAGCCCCGCCCCGGGGGGAGCAGGCCACCTGCTCGGGGCCCTGCAGCTCGAACCCGTGGTGGCAGGAGAAGACGAGCACGCGCTGCCCGGCCTCGCCGCAGAGCACGACGTCCCCGTTGTCCACGCCGTCGGGGAGGCCGCAGGCGTCGCCTGCACAGAGATGGAAGGTGGAGCCCGTCAGGTGTTCGCTGCCCCCTGGCCCCGGGTCCCCCCGCACGGACCCCACGCCCCACCGTGTGGTCCGGGCCGCGCTCCCCTGGGCGCACAGGCGCTTCGGGTCGAGCCACACCTGCCCCGGTCCTCGGGCCGGCTCCCCGCGCCTGGTCCCCGCAGCAGAGCACCTGCGTCCGGGGGTGGCGGCCACGACCGCGCCACGCACCTCCCCGGCTGAGGCCTCTGGGCGCCCACCAGCGCCCCTCTCCCCCCGACCCTCACCTCCCTGAGCCTTTACCTCCCTGACCTCCTCCCCTCCTGACCCCCTCACCTCCCTGACCGCTCTCCTGTATGACCCCTCACCTCCCTGACCCCCTCACCTCCCCACCTCCTCTCCTCCTTGACCCCCTGGCCCCCTGCCCCCCTCACCATCTGACCCCTCCTCCTCTCACCCCGTCTCTCCCCTCCCCTCCCCTCCTGACTCCCTCACCTCCCACCTTCCCGCCATGCAGCCGGAGCCGCCTCTGCACCTCCCTGTGGGCGCGCAGCTTGTCGGCACCAGGGCATCCTGCGACGGCGCCATGGAGGCCGGTGCACAGCCCGCGCCCCACACCCCACGCCCACCCGCCCAGCCCTACTCAGGGTCCCGTGCGTGGCCGCCTTGGGGGCTCACCCCCTCCTTGGGTGCGCCTGCGGCACACGACACTCTTGAACAATCCACGTGCTACGACACAATCTAACAAAGGGCTTCAGGTCACCTTGCGGAAGGGCCTCCCTCCACACGTCCAGGTTCAGACCCGGAATGTTCTCGCACGGCTCAAAGTCCTGTGGGAACCTGCCGACCTGGAGGGCGTCCGCGGGCACGCTGGGGAGGCCCGTGTTGTCACAGATGACCCGGGAGAGGGAGTGCCTCGCCAGCTCGCGCCGCTGCTCGTCGGTGAACACCCCGCTGCTCTCCCACCAGAACCTGCGGGAGGGGGGCGCCGGGCGCTGCAGGAGCCACACGGGGGGTCCTGTCCTGTGCCGCTGCCCGGAGCTGCCAGACGCCTGACGCCTGACCCACGGGCCCGGGGCGAGGGGTGGCTTGGCCGCCTCCCTGGGGGACCCCGGGGCCTGGGCCGAGCCGACAGGGGGACAGTGCGCCCCCACCCCCGCGCTCGGGCGCCGTCCCCCGGCCCAGGCCTCGCGCCTCGGTCATCGCGCACCCGCCCGGTGCAGCAGACGCGGGAGGAAAGAGCCGGGGGTGGGTTTCTGGCCACGCGATGGCCGCTCGGGCGTGAGCGCGGTTTGCACGCGTCAACAGCAGCTCAGGGCTCAAGCTCTGAGCGCGCTCGGGCTCCCTTTGTGCGATGACCCGGGATCAGGGCCCTGCAGGGACGGCCTGGAGGGCCGCGCGAGTGCCCAGGTGACCTGAGCGCCCGGCTGGGGACCCGCGCACCGCGGGCCGCAGAAGTGCCGGGCGGTGACACCCACCGGTCTCCGTCCCTCAGAGCCTTCATCTGCCTCCCGATGAGGCACGCAAACAGCGGGCCCGTGCGCGCCCGGGGGAGGAGGGGCTCGGCCAGGCCGCCCAGCCAGACGTCGATGTTGTCCGGGTGCCCGTACAGGTCCAGGATCCGGCCGGCGAGGGTGGCGTTGGCGACGGCGGAGCGCAGCTCGGCCCGCGTGTGCAGCCGGCCCAGGCCGCAGAACTCCCTCCACGCGTTGTAACCTGCGGGCAGGGACGCCGTTCTCTCCTTCCGCGCGTCCACCCGCCGCCTCACCGGAGCTGGGCCCCACGGAGGGCCACCGCCCTGCCTCGTACCTGCCGAGTGGAACGTGCCGGAATAGTCCAGCCCAGAGTCAGGGCCTCCCTGAGGACCCTGCCTCGCACCATGCCGGCAAGTCAGTGAGGATGAACCCCAGACACCGTATTGCACAGCGACCAGAGTGCGGCCGCCGGGGGCCTAGGGGGGAGGCCCCGAGGCAGCGGGACTGGCTCCCCGTGGCCGGTCCATGACCCCCGCTGCACAGCAGAGGGGACCCGTGAGGGGTGCCCCTGGCCCGGAGGAGCCCCCAGGCGCCAGGCAGGTCCATACATGCAAACTGGGTGTTGGTGGCAGGGGCCTTGCACGGTGAGCAAGGTCGACCATGCAGCTGAACGACGGGGTCCCCTGGAGGAAAGGCCACGGCTGGCGGGGGTCAGGGAGGGGCGGGGAGGGTTGGGACAGGTGACGGGGCCGGGGATGGAGTGGGGAGCTGGGGGCAGCCCGGGAAGTGGGTCCTGGGTACACAGAGTGGCCAGAGTTGGCACTGCCAGTGGGTGACAGCCTGGAGGTGGCAGGACGTGTGCTGGCCCCGGGAGCGGTGAGAGGGAGGGACAGCTGGTCAGTGGGCCTGCGACGCCCCGACAAGCACCAGGCCAGACCCCCTCCCTCTGCCTCTTTGGGGGCTGCTCTTCCTAAACGCCGGGCTCCTGCCCCACTGGGAGGCCTGGGCACCCTGCCGGGCTCTGAGCAGCGCTGAACGGTCCCCCGTGGACGAACCAGGGCCCTAGAACTCGGCCGGGGATTGGAGGCCCTGTGCTTCTGACCCCACAGGCCCTCGTGGTGAGCCCCACAGCCCAGGTTGGAGGCAAGCCTGGGAGGAGTCCAGGGGGAGCTTGGGGAGGAGCCTTGGGGTGAGAGGTAAGCCAGGGGAGGAGTACGGGGAGGAGCCCGGGAGGAGCCTGGGGAGAAACCCGGGGAGGAGCCTGGGAGCAGAAGTTTAGCCCAGGAAGGAGCCCAGGGAGGAGTCTAGGGGGGTGATGAGAGTGGGAGGTGAGCCAGGGGAGGAGCCTGGGGAGGAGCCTGGGGAGGACCCTGGGGAGGAGCCTGGGGAGGTGATGAGAGTGGGAGGTGAGCCCGTGGAGGAACCTGGAGAGGAGTATGGGGAGGAGTCTGGGGAGGAGTCTGGGGAGGAACTCTAGAAGGATCCCTGGGAGGAGCCCGGGAGGGAGAGGTAAGCCAGGGAGGAGAACGGGGAGGAGCCCGGGAGGAGCCTGGGGAGGAGTCTGGGGGTGGGAGGTAAGCCAGGGGAGGAGTATGGGGAGAAACCTGGGGAGGAGCTTGAGAGCAGAAGTTTAGCCCAGGAAGGAGCCCAGGGAGGAGTCTGGGGAGGTGATGAGAGTGGGAGGTGAGCCCGTGGAGGAGCCTGGAGAGGAGTCTGGGGAGGAGCCCAGGAGCGAGAGGTGAGCCCATGAAGGAGCCCTGGGGAGAACCCAGGGAGGAGCCCGGGGAGTGGGAGGTAAGCCTGGGGGTGGCCCTGGGGAGGAGTCTGGTGAGGAGCCCTGGGGTGGGAGGTGAGTCGGGGGGGAGCCCGGGGAGGAGCGGGAGTGGGGAGACCTGGCAGGCCGTGGTCCCGGCCCCGCTGCAGGTTTATGGACGCCAGGTCCAGGCTGCCCGAGCTGCCCAGCACGAACAGCCTCTCGGTCAGCTCCTCGTTCACCAGCTGCCCCTGCACCGGCAGCTTGGCGGGGCTCGCGAGAAGGCCCCTCAGCACGGGGTCCAGGCCGCCTGCAAAACATCAGGGCAAGGCGAGGTGGTGCGAGGGTCCTCGCGTGGACAACCCGGCTTGTGCTTAACAGAAAACCCCTCAAGGCCACGCATTCACGTTGTGCGGTTCTGCGGCTTTCAGGGGCCGCGTGGGTCCTGCCTGCGGGGAGCCGGCACCCGGTGGGGCCCCGGGACTGACCGGCAGTGCGGGGGGGCAGGTCTCAGGGCCCAAGGGGACCCAGGGCCGGAGCCCGGGAGCCCTGAGGAGCGTCAGAGAGCCCACGGAGGTGTCTGGCCGAGCGCTGGAGCCACTTTCCCGTGAGCACAGCTAAGGGACCGCGCTCAGCGCAGTGTGCTGGCAGAGCCGGAGGTGCCAGGGAGCGACGCGGGGTGGCGGGTGCATCCGGGGAGCACCGGCGGGGGGGGGGCGCACCTTCCTTGAGGAGCCTCCAGGGGCTGAAGAAGGCGTCCTGCAGCCGCAGCGGGGGGAGGCCGGGGTGCTCCTGGAAGCGGGCGTCCAGCCGCCTCACCAGCGGGTGCACCGTGGCGTGGCCGAAGCGGAAGGCGGCCGTGGAAAACACGTTGGACACGGTGGGGTCCACGGTGGGGTCGTAACCCTCGTAGGGGCCCACGTGCTGCTGGAAGGCCTCGGGGCCCAGGACTTTGGGGACGTAGTCCCGCAAGGTGATGATCTAGGAGGAGGGAGAGCGGGACGGCTTCTGAGCAGGGGCGGCCGGCCGCGGGGGAGGGTGCGGCCTGGGCGACACGCAGCGACGGGGGAGGACCTTCTGCTGCGCATCCGGGGGCCAGACTGGTCCCGGGAGGGACAGGCCGTCCAGGCGAGGGGACAGGTGAGTGCATCAACGGGCATCCTCATAGCTCAGACCTTTATGGGGCCGGGGAGCCATGTCAGCAACACCCCCAAATGCCACCCGGGCAAGGCAGCCCCACAAAACTTGGGGTGCACCGCACAGATGCCGGGCTGCCCCCTGCACCCCCGACCCCACCCCTCGACCCCTTCACCCCGGGCGCCCCGTCGACGCTGCAGCTCAGAAGGGAAGTGAGAGCCCCGGGAGCTCCCGGACCCGAAGCCTCTTTGCCGGGGTTTCTGGGTTAGGCCTGCGCGGTGTCCACGGGGCAGGGGCGTCCACTGCCAGGGCGGCTGCGAGCAGCGGGACGCCCCCCGCGGGGAGGAAGTGCCGGGCGCCGAGGGTGGGAGGGTGGCCCGCGCTCCGGGCGGCTCTCGCAGACTAGAAGGGATGCTGGCCCGTGTCCTTCCTCCCTCCCCGGGCTGCGTCTGAGCTCGTGGGCTCTCCTCGTGGGAACGGAAGGAGGCCCCCCTGCAGGGTCTCCTCGGCGGGGGCCCAAACTGCGCGCATGGGTTTCGCAGACCAGGCCTCCTCCCACCGTGGTCCCGGCCTGGAGGACGCGTCGCATGGCTCTTGGCGCTCTCGGGGGCAGCGGCGTGCTGGGGGCGGCAGGGGGGAGGGCGTGGTGGGGCTGGTGGCATCCTGCAGCCACGCGGCCGGCCCTCGGCCTGCGGTTCACGGGGCAGGGGCCCGGCCTGGCCTGCAGCGCTTGAGCCCCAGGCTCCGATCCCAGCGCCCCTGCCGCCCCGGAGCCCCGGCAGCGGTCCCGAGGCCGCCAGCGCCCGTGGCTTCTGTTTGACGTGCGGTCCCGGGAGGACCGGGCACGGGGGCTCCGCTTGCAGCTTCAACAGTCACTCCCTTTGCTGTAAAAATCAGCGTCCGAGTCTTCCGGTGTTTGCTGCGACCTTGGCCAACGGGGGGCATCCAGGGCGGGTCAGCCGAGGGGAGCCGTCCCGTCCGGGCACGGGGCTCTCGGGGGTCAGCCTGTCAGGGCCCCCGGCTGCTGGAGGAGCAGCAGCCCCTCCACACAGGACGTGTTTCCTGAGTGCCTGGCTGTGCTCTGCAGGAGAGCCGCGGGGAGCACCCCCGCCTCCGGGCCGGGGGACGCCGGATGGACGCTGGCCCAGCGCCGCCAGCCAGATGGCTCATCCCGGGGAGGTTTGGGGACCAGAGAGCGGCCCTGGGTCACGGGGGGGCAGGGCATGCAGACCTGTGACGACCTGGTTGTGCAGGACCTGGTCCTCAGCCCAGGCTGGCGTCCCAGGCGCGTCCCAGGGCTTCTCCCACCTGCCCAGGGGTCCAGGCGGCCCCTCCCACCCGGCGTGGGCTGGGCTCCACGGCTGTTCGGTCTGCCAAGGGCACTGGGCGCCTCGTCCTGAGCACGTCCCCCCACAGACCCGCACAGGCCCCGTGAGGAGGGAGACCCCGGGGATGCGCCGCCCGGGGCTGTGTCGCGGGGCAGAGGGGAGTCTGGGCAGCGCTGCCGAAGACGTCTGGGCAGAGGCCTCCGCGGCGAGCGGCTTGGGGCTCTGGGGGACAGAGCGGGGCTGGTGTGGGGCTGGGCGGGTGCAGGAGGCAGAGGGGCGGCTCCGCTCCGGGTGCGTGGGGGGAGCAGCAGCCACAGCCCCCGCCGCGTGTCCCTGCACCTGGCCGCTCAGAGCTGGGGTGGCGGCCGCGGGGCTGGGCTCTCTCTCTCTCTCTCTCTCTCTCTCTCTCTCTCTCTCTCCTCCTAATCTGCAGACACTTCTTTTAAGGACATAATGCTTGTCAGGAGGGAGCGATCCAGGCCAGGGAAGCGGGGAAGGGGGACAGTCTTGCGGGCCACCAGGGACCCCTCGGACGCAGCCCACCTCTCGGCAAGGGTTTTATCGACGCTGGACGCGACCTCGCGTTATTTTAGGGTTTCCACCGTATTTGCAAAAAAACACCGAAGAGAAGCTATTGGCTGAAAAAGCACGTCAGGGAACCTGGAAGTAAACGGTGACGCCAGGAAAGGCTGACAGGTCCTGGGCAGACGCGGGGCGGGACTCCTGGGGTGACGCTGGGGGCCCGGCTTCCCTCGCACGCTCAGCACACCCCCCACCCCGAGCGCCCTCGCCGGGCACGGCCGGTCCAGGGGCCGGGACAGCAGAGCCCACGGAGCTCACGCGTGGGGAAGGGGCACGGACACAAGGAAGCACGCCCGCCGGCGGCGGACACAGCTGGGAGGACTGCCCGGGGCGGAGGCGATCAGACACCCCCAGGTGGGGCCCGAGAACCGCTCCCCTGAGCCTGGGTGAGACCCCACTTTGTTCAAGGTCGGTCCCGTCTGACGAGCTATGGGATCGTGCTCCCAAAGGGCCGGGCCTCAGGCCGCGGTGGATCGTCCCGCCGATGGGCCTCCAGCCCGCTCACGGAGCCCGCACGGCTCCCGCTCACTCCACCAACGCCGCGAGGTCACCGTTCGCTGCCCGGCCCGTCGGGGCTCGGCTGCGTGTGTAACGTGAGCCTCGGGCCGTCGGTGGGCGTGTCGGGGTCCCACGCTCTATCCCGCCCCCACCGAGCACGCGGGGCACCCCAGCGGCTTGCGCACCTGGTGCAGGGCGCCCACCACCTTGCGCGCCTCCTGGTAGGCGGTGTCCGCGCTCCAGTGAGCGTTGAGAGCCTTGAGCGCCGAGGCCAGGCGGTTGTGCTCGCGCAGCCACAGCGTGTGAAGGGCCGCCAGAGTGGGGACCTCGCTGGCACGGCTGTCCCCCGCCAGGAAGCAGGGCGCTCCGGCCGTCCCGCGGGTGCCGGGCTCGGGCACGCAGGCCGCGGGCGCGGGCGGCCGCGTGAAGGGCAGGTGGGCGCGGCCGGCGTCCCAGTGGCGCGCGTTGACGCGGAGCAGCCCCTCGGCGCTGGTCCAGTTGCGCAGCTGCTTCTCCAAGGCCGGGGAGCTGCCGTACACCGTGGACGCGTCCAGGAAGGACGTCAGCCCGTTCATCTGCTGGCGCGGGTTGGCCGAGCTCAGGTTGCCGAAGAAGGCGCCTTGGATCCCGGTGCCGCAGGCGGCAGAGGAGCGGGAGAAGGGCAAGCAGGCGGGCCCCGAGGCGTCGGGGGGCAGCTGCCGGGACAGGGCGGTCAGCCGGCTCTGCAGGGACCCCGGGCCTAGGAGGGGCCGCGGCCTGCGACCCCGGCGGCGCTCTGGCCCGTCCCCCTGCACTCTGGCAGGAGCTGTGTCCTGCCCTCACTCCAGCGGGCCACCCGGTCCTGCGGGGTCAGCGAGGCGCCTGGGGCCCAGGGTCAGCGAGGTCACAGGGGCCCGTCCCCACCTGGTCCTGCAGGGTCAGCGAGGGGACAGGGGCCAAGGGTGAGGAGACAGGGGCCTATCCCCACCCGGTCCTATGGGGTCAGCGAGGTGACTGGGGCCTGTCCCCACCTGTTCCCACCGGGGTCAGTGAGGTGAGGGGGCCGTCCCCACCTAGTCCTGTGGGGTCAATGAGGAGACAGGGGCCAAGGGCGAGGCGACAGGGGCCCATCCCCACCCGGTCCTGCCAGGGTCAGCAAGGTGACAGGGGCCCAGGGGCAGCTAGGCCACAGGGGCCCGTCCCCACCTGGTCCTGTGGGGTCAGTGAGTTGAAAGGGGCCCATCCCCACCTGGTCCTGCCAGGGTCAGTGAGGTGACAGGAGCCTGTCCCCACCTGGTTCTGCTGGGGTCAGCAAGTGAGAGGGGCCTGTCCCCACTGAGTCCCGCCAGGGGTCAGCAAGGTGACAGGGGCCCATCCCCACCCGGTCCTGTGGGGTCAGTGAGGTGACTGGGGTCCGTCCCCACCTGTTCCCACCAGGGTCAGCAAGGAGACAGGGGCCGTCTCCACTAGTCCTGCTGGGGTCAGCGAGGTGATAGGGGCCGGTCCCCACCTGGTCCACAGGGTCAGCGAGGCGACTGGGGCCCATCCCCACCCAGCGAGGCCATAGGGGCCCGTCCCCACCTGGTCCTGTGGGGTCAGCGAGGTGACTGGGGCCCGTCCCCATCCAGTCCTGTGGGGTCAGCGAGTTGAAAGGGGCCCGTCCCCACCTGGTCCTGCCAGGGTCAGTGAGGTGACAGGAGCCTGTCCCCACCCAGTCCTGCTGGGGTCAGTGAGGTGAGGGGTCCTGTCCCCACCGAGTCCCGCCAGGAGTCAGCAAGGAGAGAGGGGCCTGTCCCCACCCAGTCCACAGGGTCAGCAGGCAACAGGGGCCCGCCCCACCCGCCCCTGCAGGGAGGTGTTAAAGCCCCTCCGTGTGCTGCTCCTCCTTGCGGGATGAGGGCGATAGGACAGTATTTACAGGGACCACCTGGCTCGTCTGTGGAAACCCTGGTCGTCCCGGCGCCCAGCCCCGGGGCCACCCCCGCCCGCCGACGGGTGCACACGTCCTGACACGCGCCTCGCTTCATCGCGTGTGGCGGCGTGGAAGCAGCAGAGCTTAGAACGACGTAGATGCTCGTGGACGAGGGGGTTGCTTCAAGAGCCATAATGCGTATTTCAAGACTCTAAGAAGCCCTAAAACAATCAAATTTCCGTCCACTTAATGAAGTGGGAGAAGTGCACTAACTATGGCTGATGACCCCACGAGGCTCAGAGCCGCACACGGAGAGGACACGTGGGCACACACACGCGTGGACACCTTCTGGCCAGATGCACAGGCTATTCCCGACCACTCACCTCCCCGCGAGGACACGTGGGGATTTTGACATTTCACTTCCTAGTTCTCCCATTCTGGAAGTGACGTCTGCCACAATGAGTATCTTAGGAAGTGTAAGATTCTACCTGGATGGGAAAACACGGGCTCCGGTTCTCACACGTCAGCTGGCAGTCAGCTCCCGCCCCGAACGCCGCTCCGCTGGCACTCTGCGGTGTGAACGCGACGTCGTGGTCGATGTACTGGCCCCACGCCGTCAGGAGATCCGAATACTGGTCGTCCTCTGTGACGGCCTCGTTGGGGACCCGGATAACCTGTCTGGTCACCTCCCGCACCTGGTGAGAGACACCAGCTTGTCACGTGGGACGGCGTCCGCAGAGAAAGAGGTCACCGGGGGAGCATGCGTCGTGGTGCGGCGGCCGCTGGCGGGACGGGGAGCCCTAGGTCGTGACCTCGGGCGGGACGGGGAGCCCTAGGTCGTGACCTCTGGCGGGATGGGGAGCCCTCAGGTCATGACCTCTGGTGGGACAGGGAGCCCTAGCTTGTGACCTCTGGTGGGATGGGGAGCCCTCAGGTCATGACCCCTGGTGGGACAGGGAGCCCTAGGTCGTGACCTCTGGCGGGTGGGGAGCCCTCAGGTCATGACCTCTGGCGGGATGCGGAGCCTTAGGTCGTGACCTCTGGCGGGACGGGGAATCCTCAGGTTGTGACCTCTGGCGGGATGGGGAGCCCTCAGGTCATGACCCCTGGTGGGACGGGGAGCCCTAGGTCGTGACCTCTGGCGGGTGGGGAGCCCTCAGGTCATGACCTCTGGTGGGATGGGGAGCCTTAGGTCGTGACCTCTGGCGGGACGGGGAATCCTCAGGTTGTGACCTCTGGCGGGACGGGGAGCCCTCAGGTCATGACCCCTGGTGGGACGGGGAGCCCTAGGTCGTGACCTCTGGCGGGACGGGGAATCCTCAGGTTGTGTCCGCTGGTGGGTCGGGGAACCGGTACACCGAGGTGTGGCGCCCGCTCACGGATGGCTGGTGCCCGTGAAATCCAGCGGTGCGGCACAGCACCACCCTGAGCCCGGGGCGTTAGTGGGGAAGGCACCTGTGGGCTGTGTCCAGCCTAACGCACCGGTTTGAGGTGATTTGGGGCCTTAGGTAACTGCTCTGAGTCTCAATTTCTTTGTCTGTGAGTGGATGTGAGATGCTGACCTTTGGGGTTGTCCTCGGGATCAAACCAAGAGTCGTTTACTGAACGTCTGGCCATCGGTGAGGTGATGGCTGTGACTGGGGGCAGGGCCGGGGGCCCGGAGGGCTGTTCCCAGGCCGCCACCCGTTTGCAGACCTTGAGATGGGGGCGAGCCTGGGTTTCCACGGGGATCCAACACCACCGTGTGGCTCCTAAACTCTGAGAGCCTCTCCCGCCTGTATCAGAGGGGATGCGGCTTCGGGGGCCGGGGAAGAGGATGCTCTGTAGCCCCGTCCACACCAGATGGTCCCCTTGTGAGCCCCGCGCCTGGATGGTCGCCCCAAGAGCATCACTCCTGGACGGTGGCCCCGTGAGCCCCGCGCCTGGACGGTGGTAGCGCTGAGTAGTTTCAGCAGGAGCAGGACATCACCAGCCCGTGTGAGGATTCCTGAGCCCATTGTTCTAAGTAGCCGTGAAATTCTGGCAAATACGGGTTTACAGACCCTAGTCCCTGAGTGCTGAGTCCGGAGGGCGCGGGGCTTGAACAGCCTGGCATCGAGCAGGAAGGGGAAGGTGTTACCCCTCTTTAGGGACGGGCGGACGGAGGCTGGGGGACCTCAGACACCCGAGCCCGTGCCCTCCCACAGGGCCCCCGGCTGCAAGGAGCACCCATCCTCCTGCTCAGTGCCCCCGGCAAGGACTGCCCGGGGAAGGGGATGGCTTCGTGGGGGACGGCGTGCTGGTCCCCAAGCTGCTGTGGTCAGGTCCCGACCTCTCAGGCCGAACAGAGCGTCGCTGTCATGTTTCTGCAAACGTCCTTCATCACACACGGCACGAGGCCGCACAGACTAAGTCACGGAAGCCAGTGGTCGGACTGAGGGCAAAATGCCCACCTTTTAACCAGAGCGATCGGTGGACTGGACTTGGCTTGCTTCACCAAATAACGTGCTGCTGGGGTAAAGCCACCCACTGGCATCAACGAGTGAGACACTAAACACTAAAAAGTATCTTTGCTACGCCTCATCCTCTGCCGGCGGGTAAAGGAGTGAAGGGGTTTATTTCAAAATGTCAAAAATGAAGGCCCCCGGGCGGCTCCGTACATTAAGCAACCGACTGTTGGTTTTCGCTCAGGTCATGACCTCAGGGTCTGGGGCCTGAGCTCAGGGCTCAGCAGGGCGCGTGCTTGGGATTCCCTCTCTCCCTCTGCTCTCCCCTCCACCCTTAGAAATAAATCTTAATAAAAAAATTAAAAAAAAACAGAAAAGGCAAAATGATGCCGAGTTAGATGAGCCTTGATCTAAATCTGTTTTGTCCTGGTCACTGGCCGGTGACACTAATCCCTCCACACCTCAGCTCCCAAAACGTGGAGCCCTGAGCAAAGCTGCCAGACACAGGTGCTGGGGGGTGGAGGGGACGGGCCCCGAGCCTTCGCGGGGAGCCCCCCATCCTGAGCGGGGTGCACAGGTGCTGGATGGAGGGGATGGGCCCTGAGCCCCGTGGGGAGCCCCCGTCCTGAGCAGGTGCACAGGTGCTGGGGGGATGGAGGGGACGGGCCCTGAGCCTCCGTGGGGAGCCCCCATCCTGAGTAGGTGCATAGGTGCTGGGAGGATGGAGGGGACCGGCCCTAAGCCCTGCAGGGAGCCCCCGTCCTGAGCAGGTGCACAGGTGCTGGGGGGATGGAGGGGACCAGCCCTAAGCCCTGCAGGGAGCTCTCGTCCTGGGGGGTGGAGGGGATGGGCCCCGAGCCTTCGCGGGGAGCCCCCCATCCTGAGCGGGGTGCACAGGTGCTGGATGGAGGGGATGGGCCCTGAGCCCCGTGGGGAGCCCCCGTCCTGAGCAGGTGCACAGGTGCTGGGGGGATGGAGGGGACGGGCCCTGAGCCTCCGTGGGGAGCCCCCATCCTGAGTAGGTGCATAGGTGCTGGGAGGATGGAGGGGACCGGCCCTAAGCCCTGCAGGGAGCCCCCGTCCTGAGCAGGTGCACAGGTGCTGGGGGGATGGAGGGGACCGGCCCTGAGCCTCTGCGGGAACCCCCCGTCCTGAGCGGGGTCTCAGCAGCAGGCTGGCATAGACGGCGGGCGGTCTGGGGGCGTCTCGGGGACCTGCATAGCGCAGCGGGCCACGGTGCCTACCGGGGGCAGTGGGAAGCCGCTGTACAGGACGTGGGGGTTCCACCCTCTGGGCTCACTGATGCCGTCTTCATAGGCGGGCGGCAGCCACCTCGCCAGCGCTGTGTTGGAGGCTCCCCACCTGGGGTGGTCTCTGTGGAAACAAACGTGACACGTTCGATCACAAAATACCCTGTATTCGTAAAAAAACAAAAAACAAAAAAACCCAAAAAACGGAAAACAAAAAAAACTGATAGATGCATTAGAATGGAAATATCAGTGCAACGCATGAAAGAAATGCAAATTTTCTTATTGAGAAAAATGTGATATTTTTTTAAAATGGCTATTTGGGCATAAGATGGCCAGGTGCTCCCGTTCCCTGGCATTCATCAACCAGACCCCGTGGACACCCCCGGCAGCGGGCGTCCCTGTGGTGGCTGCAGGGTCTTTGCCGGGAACGGCGTCAGGCGGCCACTTTGGGGCAACGTGCGGACAAGTGCCCGGCGCGGGAGGTCACGTGGCCGGGGGGCGAGAGCTGGCAGAGATCGGGACCCAGACTCGGTAACTGGCCTGCGCATCGGGGTGCAGGCACTCGGGACACCGATGTAGCCAAGTCAGCAGGATCGTGACGAGGTGAACGGTCTCCTACAGGTTTTGGAGTTTTCAGGAATATAAATGTTCATGCGCCCGTTGCTTTGCTCCGACCGAAGTCGTCGTCGCTATTAAGGACAGCGTGTTCGTGGATCCTTCTTACATACGGGACCGATTTCGACGCGGTGCCGAGGGCTGAAGGGAACCGGGTGCCCCCGAGGGCGTCGCCGGTCTGGGCCTCAGAGACTCGCCGCGTTTGATGGGGACACTTGGTCCTGGCATCGGGGACAGACTGAGCGGTCGGTGCCACACGGCCCCGGACTGACCTTCGGGTCCCGGGTGGCTGCTGCCCCGACCGGGAGCCTGGGGGGGGCTTGGTGGCAGGAGCGACAGGCGTGTGCGTGTCCGCAGGGCCCGCGGGGCCTCGTTCTACTTTCGATCCGCTGTTGACTCCAGGACACCGAAGTGGCTCAATTTGCAGAACAAGGGGCGGGATGGGTCCGCGTGGACGCGGGCGTGCGCTTGAACACAGGGTCGGGCTCCTCACGGGTTCACCGTGACCGACAGTCCAGGACGTGCCGCCCGGGGGAGGCGCAGCGTCACCCAATTAAACAAATGAGTCGCTCGCTTCACCGCGTGGTGAGTGTTTTGCTGATGGACGTTGATCGTCCAGGGGCTTCCAGGCCGTCGCGAGAGCCCCGGGGCGCCTGCCCGTGTCCGCGGGTCCTCAGCCGGGCGGGACCCTGCCCGCGGGGCCCCGGGAGGGAGCGTGGCCGAGCTGGGGCGGCGACAGTGCCGGCGGGGTCACTGGCTGTCACAGGGCCGCCCAGCGCGGCGCGGCCGACGTTGCTCACGCGTCACTGGCCCTGCCCGCCGTGGGATCCCCGGTCCGCTGCGCATCACGGGTTGTGAGGCTCGGGGGCTCGGCCGCGTTGGGGACTTGGTCACGAGCTGACCCGGGTGAGCGGACGGGAGCATCTCTGGCGGAGACGTAACCAGGGCCGCGGCGCCTCCAAATCGCTGTGATGAGCTGGACGTGCCAGCGCCCCGTCCGAGGCTCGGGCACCCCGATGCCCTGACGTCCCGGGTCCGAGAGACAGAGGCAGGTCTCCCTCCCGCCTGTCCGAGCTGGAGGCTGGAGGCTGGGAGGCTGCAGTCAGCGTCTTCCTGGCCATGGCGGGGGGGGGGGATGGGCACACGCTCTTGAGGTGTCTTGAGGTGTCACCTGGTGTCACATCCTGGGGGGCCCTCACGGAGCTCTGACCTCTGAGTGACGGCCCTTCCCACGTGGCTCCCACCTGCCTGACGCCCCGTCGTTGGTCCGAGGTGTGAGAAAGCTCAGTGCACGGCGCGGGGGCCTCTGGCTGGAGCTCCTACGGGAGGTGCCGCAGCCCCGAGAGGGCGGGATCCGCGCGGGTGGACGCCGGGCCCCAGGACGTGCCTTCCCATCACGGGTGTGGGGTCGATACCAAAACCCCTGAAGCCTCACCCGTCTGGCGACGCTTGTCCCCGTGTTGGGCCCCACGTATCCCATCCAAGCAGCAGCAGCAGCAGCAGCGACACACGCGCTTCCTCAGAGGGTCAGGCTCCCCGGGCCGGGGTGGCCGCGGCCCCGTACGGGTCCCGTGTGGTTTCGGCTCTTGTTCCAATTCAAGTTCAGGGTTCGTCCACCACCTTCCCCGACCTCGTGCTCCGGGCAGCCGGCCTGTCCTGTCCGGTGGCCGCCGGTTCAAGCAGTGTCAGCGCAGCCCCGGGGCCGCCGCTCTGTGAAGGACGCTCGGCGCGGGAGCCGCAAGCACCTGGTGCCCGGAGAGAAAGGGGCGGGCACACGTGCACCCTCACCTGCTCACGCTCGGAAGGCGGAGCCCACGTTTAATTTGGGTTTTGACAATTGTTTCGAAGACTGAACCCCGAGAATCACGTTATCACGGAATTACGCCCTGACGCCCGGCGTCCCCGGGGCCCGCAACTCAGGAGCAGACGTCAGACGTTGCCTTCGGGCCGGTCCGACTCTGGGCTTGGAGGCCAGATTCTCCAGCGAGGGGGCTCCGTGCGGAATCACCGGGTAGTGGGGTCACGTCCCGCAGCCGCGAGGTGTCCCCAGTGTCGGGGAATGGCAGGCCGGGGAATGGACCGGCTGACGGGCTGCGTCTCCGTCGCTGCGTCGATGCCAACGGCCTCTGGGTCTCCATCCGTGCGGTGGGCGGCGGTGGGCGCGGGCCGGGCTGGCGGGCCGTCGTCGATGACCCACGTAAGCCCGGGCCACGACAATTCTGTGCGATTTGGAGAAGCAGCCGTGGCCGCGCATGGTGGGTCGCAGCAGCCGCCCGGCGGGAGCCTCCCCGCGGCCTCAGCGGTCACGCTCACGGCCTGTGGCGAAGCCTCGGGCCACGAACCAAGAGGTCAGATCCCGTCCGGTCATCCCGCGGTGACGTCCCTTCCGGGGTCGCGGTCGCGGGCCGCAGGCAGGCACTTCAGCACCGGACACACTGCGCCAGGTAAGCGCCGTCGCCTTTCACGGAGGCAGAAACGGCCCAGACGGCCGACGAAGGCCACCGGGCGGCCACTGCCCCGTCCTGCGGCCCGACCCGACGGCGCCGCTCACCTAACGCCCCGCTCCCCGTATCTGGAGACCGGGTTTGCTCCCAGGGAGGACGGCGGCGTGCTGCCCACTCGCTCTCGCGCGGACGAGGGAAACGAGGCCCCACCGAGGACCAGGCTCCCGAGCGCAGAGCAGGGCCCCGCGTCCACGGGCGCCGTCCCCCCTCCCACGAGCAGCCCTCGCAGCGCCGGTCACGTCACGCAAACTGCCGGCGGGACAGCCTCCTTGCCGCTGCCGCTAATGCCTCGTGTGGTGTGTCCGGCCGCCGGACAGTCTCGGCGAGCGAAGGCCAGGCCGCACCCCACGGGACACCCGGCCCGCGCGCCCCTGCGGGAAAGCCAGGAGAAGTGAGGAGCTTCTAGGTCCAGCCTCGGGAACTCAGAATTCACGCTGCGGGGCCTGAGCGCGTGTGGCCTAGAGACGGTCGCGCGGCCGGGAGGCAGGACCCGAGCCCGAGCCCGAGCCCGAGCCGGCGGCACCGCGACGGATGAGAGGTGAGGGGAGCAGGAAACAGGCCACTGTGCGTCCACCTTCCGTCCAGGAGGGACAGGGACCCGTGGGCGGGCCCCAGGGAGTAGGGACCAAGGGCGCTGACGCTTTAGTGAGAAACAGGGAGCGCGGCGGAACTACCCGCACATCCGAGCCCGGAGCCTGGAAACCGCGTAGGGGAGTCCGGCCACCGCGGGGCCTGGGACGGACGGACGGACGGACAGACGGAGGCCTGCGTCCTGCTCACCCCAGACGTGCCCTCCAGCCCGAAGTCCGAGCCGGCCGCGTGGGGGCGGCCACAACCACCCGGGGGCGCAGAACACGCGACAGGAGGACACCAGCCTGCCTGTCGTCCCCCTCCCTGCACAACCCGCCGTCAGATGAACCCGCGGAGTGGGCTGGACCCGGGTGGTGAGAGCACACGCAGGCCGGCGGGTGGCACGGACCCGCCTCCGGGAACTGCCCCGTGCGGGGTGTCCCGTGTGCCCCGGGGACACCCGCGCTGCACAGCCTGTCCCTCGGGCACACCCAGCGCCATCGGGGGGTGGAGGCTGGCGGAGGAGCCTGGGGCGACAGGAGAGGTCCTGGATCAGGCACAGGGGCCTGGGGATGCCCACAGGTGTACAGGATCCCAGGGGATGCCCAGAGGTGGGGGACAGGGGCCCAGGGGACGCCCACATGTGGGGTGACAGGGGCCCAGGGAACACCCATGGGGGGGGACAGGGGCCTGGGTGCCCCCCAGAGGTGGAGAACAGGGACCTGGGGACGCCCACAGGTGGACAGGAGCCCAGAGGATACCCAGAGGTGGGGTGACAGGAGCCTGGGGGGCACCCAGAGGTGGAGTGACAGGCCCGGGGGACGCCCATGTGTGGGGGACAGGGGCCTGGGGGACACCCAGAGGTGGAGAACAGGGGCCTAGGGACACCCACAGGTGGACAGGAGCCCAGAGGATTCCCAGAGGTGGGGTGACAGGAGCCTGGGGGGCACCCAGAGGTGGGGTGACAGGGGCCTGGGGGGCACCCAGAGGTGGGGTGACAGGGGCCTGGATGATGACCCCAGTTGGGGAGACAGGAGCTTGGGGGACACTTGTGGATGGGGTGGGGTGGCGTCCAGGATGGGGTGACATCGGTGGATGGGGTGGCTCCAGTGGATGCTCGTGGACGGGGTGGGGTGGCGTCCAGGGGACACTGGTGGATGGTGTGGCTCCAGGGGACGCCCGTGGACCGGCCGTGTGAGGGGCCCCAGGGTGCTGAGAAGCGGGAGGAGACCCCCCCGGGCCCGCAGCCCCTCCGGGTGGCCTCTAACCCCGCTGCCCCCAAAGCGGAGCGAAGCCGGAGTGCACCCACCTGTTGTTGCAGGCGCCCGTGATGAGCCGGTACTTGCGGGCCAGGCAGGTGTCCGGGCACCTGGGGGGCAGCATGTGGGGCCGGCACCCGGACGCGTTGGCAATCGTGTCCAGCACGGCTTCGGGCAGCGTGTCTAGGGGAGCACCACGCGCGTCATCCCCGTTGGCAGCCTCTGACCTCCCTGCTGCCTCCCTCGGCCGACCTCTGCGCTGGGGACGCGCGTGGGCCCGGTCGCTCCCCACGGGGGCCCGGCTTCTCCTTCAGGCCGCGGCTCATCAACCCGCGCCTCCCGCTGCGGAGACGGGCTGACAGGCGACGGCGGCTCCGCGACCCGCGGCCAAGAAGCCAGAGCTCGGGGCGTGGAGCCGCCGGTGACTGTTGTGCAGCCGGTGCCATCCGCCGGCCCGACGCCGCCGAGCCCCTGCCGACCTGGCGCCCCACATCCTCGCCTCCACCCGGCGCCCCAGGTCTTCGCCCCAACGCCCCCACGTCCTCACCCGACCCCCAGCTGCCCCCATTCTCACCCTGACCCTCTGCCCCCACGTGACTGCACCTCCTGGACGGGCTCCTGCAAACCCCCACCTTCCGTCCGGGCCGGGCCAACACCCCCGCGCTCTCTGATGCCAGGACGGGGCTGCCGGGGGCTTGAGCCGTTTCCCCACGTCCGGAGGGGGCCGCAGGACCTCCCAGGGGAACCCAGACACCTTCCCTTGGCCATGCGGTCCTGGGTCGAGGCCCTGGGGCCTGCCCCTCGGGGCGCTCACCGGTGAGAGGCCGGGATCGCCCCAGCTTCCCGTAGACCCGCGTCCTCACCGCCTGCACGGAGGCTTCCATGATCTCCGCCGCTCGGGAGACGGCTCGGCTGGTCGGCTCGGGGAGTTTGGAAAAAGACAGAAGCTGCGACGGGGAAGGGAGCCCCCTCTTGCTGAGGTCTCTACGGCACAAGGGGGGACATAAAGTGGGTCACTCAGAAGCAACCGCTAAGCTCTCGAGCGGACCGTGGGGCAGGAGCCGGGGACCAGCACCGAGCACCGTGCGGGTTGGAGGGTGGGCGTCCCCGGACCCGAGCACGGGGCCAGCGGGAGATAAACCTCCTCGCCAAAGTCCAGGCGGACGCCCTCGTCGTGCTTCCCCGGGGAGCGGGGCCCTGGGCGCGTGCACCCCGTCGAGGGCCCCGGGTCAGCCAGACTCCCAGCCCGGCTCCTCCCTCCCGCCAGAGCATCACCCCCAAGGGCGAACACGGTGACAAAGCTGCTGTGGGAGAGCCCAGATGGCCCGGTGGGGGTGGGGGTGGGGGCGCCCTGCACCGTCCCCGGCCTCTCACGTATCACCTCAGCCCAGGCCCAGGTCGCTGTCTGCCCCGACCTGGGACCCAACACGCCCCCACCACTGCCTGCAGCCAGACCCCAGGATGCTCCCACCACCACCTGCAGCCAGACCCCAGGACCCTCCCCACCATCACCTGCACCCAGACCCCAGGACCCTCCCCAGCACCACCTGCACCCAGATCCCAGGACCCTCCCCACCATCACCTGCACCCAGACCCCAGGACCCTCCCACCACCACCTGCACCCGGACCCCAGGACCCTCCCCAGCACCACCTGCACCCAGACCCCAGGACACTCCCACCATCACCTGCACCCAGACCCCAGGACCCTCCCCACCATCACCTGCACCCAGACCCCAGGACCCTCCCACCACCACCTGCACCCAGACCCCAGGACCCTCCCACCATCACCTGCACCCAGACCCCAGGACCCTCCCCCCACCACCTGCACCCGGACCCCAGGACCCTCCCACCACCACCTGCACCCGGACCCCAGGACCCTCCCACCACCACCTGCACCCGGACCCCAGGACCCTCCCCAGCACCACCTGCAGCCAGACCCCAGGACCCTCCTCACCATCACCTGCACCCAGACCCCAGGACCCTCCCCAGCACCACCTGCACCCAGATCCCAGGACCCTCCCCACCATCACCTGCACCCAGACCCCAGGACCCTGCACCTAGACCCCAGGACCCTCCCCACCATCACCTGCACCCAGACCCCAGGACCCTCCCACCACCACCTGCACCCAGACCCCAGGACCTTCCCCCCACCACCTGCACCCGGACCCCAGGACCCTCCCACCACCACCTGCACCTGGACCCCAGGACCCTCCCACTACTGCCTGCAGCCAGCACCTTCCTGCCCCTGATGTGTCGGTGACCCTTGTCACTTCCCGGGGTATGTGGGGTCACAGTCCTGAGCATGTGGGTCCTGGCCGTGGGCACGGGGGTCCCATGGCCAATTCATGCACCTTCCTCCTTGAGTCTGCAGCTGCTCCCTCGGGGTACCCCCCCCCATCTTCTCTCCTCCTGCTCCCGTCTGTCGGCCTCCCTGTGCGTCCGTCTCTCTCTCTCCGAAGCAGCAGGACCACGGCCGCTCCCTCCTCCAGCAGAGGACCCGTGGCGGCCAGGGCGATGCCTGCATCAGGTCACGGGGTCATGCACTTGGGGAATGAAGACCTTAGAGGCGCTCGATCCTTCCAGTCCCACCAGGCTCCCACCGATGGGACTTTTCTCCTGGTTTTAGCAGAATTCACGAGAGCCGCCGGGCACCGGGCGCAGGCACCGCGGCTTTAGCCTAGGACGTGCTTTGGAAGCCTTTCAGGGATCAGGATAAAAATACTGAGAAGTGGTCTCGTTTGGGGGACTCGGGTTGCGCGTTTCATTGTTTCACAGGCCAAGTGAGCGAGCACCGAAGTGTCGGCGGATCCTCGCTGCCGTGGAATGACTTCCTGGAACACGCCGATGCTTTCCCTGGTTAGTGAGCGAGGAGCGAACGGCCGGTAGCTCCCCGACCACAACTGGGAGGCGACGACGGGGCAGGGGTCTTTCTCGGCGTTTCGAGCGGGAAGAGCAGCTGGGGGACGGGGTGAGGCTGTCGCGGGCTGCGAGGGAGGCTGCGGGGGGCGGCCCGGCGGCTCCGGGACCGATGTGCGAGCGCCGAGCGGTGCCAACCGCCCCCCTCTGTCCTGCGAGCCGGCGCCCAGCCCCCGCCGTGCGGACCCCGGACCCGTGGCGCTGACCTGCCTCCCCCGGTCCCTGTTCTTCCAACAAGCGCCAAGTCTGCCGGCTTTGCCCGCGCAAACGCTGCCTCCCCTCCGAGCACGTTTCCGGTTCCTGCGTGTCCTGGACCCGAATCCCCAAGGACCCCAGGTGGCCCCCGGGTGCAGCCGCAGGGACTTCCTGTTGGACGCTGGTCCTAGAAGACTTTTGAAGAAACATCTAGAAGCCACCTCAGAAGACCTCGCCGATGACGTCCGTGATTGGTTTCGTCGTCGTGGCGTTTCCATGGAGCCTCCCCACAAATCAAGGGGGTAAAAGGAATCCGGGCCCCAGTTCCAGGGCGCAGGGAGGAGGGAGACGAACGGCCTTCCTTCCCTGGGACGTGGCCGGCCCGGGGAACCCCAGGGACCCGGTCCTTGGTCCTCAGAGCGCAACAGCCGAACAAGCCTCGGGATGACCCTGAGACGGCGGCTGCCTCCCCGTGCACCCGTGACACCTGAGGGCCCAGGTCCCCCCAGGCCCAGGGAGGAGCCCTCGGCCCCGAGGCAGGCCCCATGGCCCGGCTTGTGCAGCCGGAGGTCCCCGGAAACAGGCATCTCACCTGCAGCCTGGGGTCACGGGGCAGCCGCTGACCCCGCCGATGGGCTGTGGGACACGTGGATGTGCCCCCGCCCTGGTGCTCAGACCCACGGGAGCCGTGACCCGGGGACAGGCACGTGGGAAAGCCTGCGGAGGCCGGGGCGGCGTGTGCACGGGGGCAGACGCCGCTGGGGACAATGCCCTGGAGCTCTGGGCTGCTTCTCGACCCCTTATGGAGCAAAGGATGCTCCCTCCTTTTTCCCCGTCCACCTTGACAGGGACGCTTAGGAAAGGGGCAGCTTTGGGGGCACCCGGCGGGCTCAGGGTCATGAGTTCAAGCCCCACGTTGGGCGTGGAGTCTGCTTAAAGGGGGGCAGCGTCGGAAGGCGGAGGTGGTGTCTCCCCTGCAAAACGGTCCAGCGTAGCACAGGCAGCGTCCCACCGTCCTGTCCAGGGCAGGGGCCGGGGGCGGGGTGCCCGGGGCACAGCGGGAGCTTTGGAAGAGCAGGTGACGCTGGGTGGGGGGCCTCATCTTGGTGACTTTAGGGTGCTGCCTCCATCGTAGGTCCAGGGACGCAGACTTGGAATTGCCGGCGACGGGGTCAACAGGGAGACTGTGGGAGAGCGCCAGCTCCATCCCCAAACTGGACAAACCCACAGGTACGGCAGCCAGAGCCCCCGAGCCGCCGCCGCACCAGCGGGGCACACGCAGAAGCCCCGGGGAGTCTGGTGAGCGAAGGACAAAGTGCAGGTCCCCGAGCTCGGGGCGTCTAGGGAGGGAGGGGCCTCGGGCCGCAGGGACCCTGCAGGTCCCCCTGAGGTGACAGCGTGACGCCCCCGTCCCCAGCGCCTCTGCCATCAGCACGGGGCGCGGCGGGCTGGCCGCTGGCCTGTCCACAAAAGCGCAGACCCCCCCGCCGTCTTGACACAGGCAGGGCCTCGTGTGTTTTCCCACCGGCACAGCGAGCGGGGCCGGCGCGTCACGGCGCCTCCTCTGCGTATCGTGATGGGAAAGCCGTTCTCTTCTCCAGCCGCAAAATCATTAGATTTGTTTCGAGGCGTAAAGATATTTCATCATTAGCATGTTTTAGGGCCCCTGGGTGGCTCGGCGGTGGAGCATCTGCCTCCGGCTCAGGGCGTGACCCCAGGGTCCCGGGATCGAGTCCCCATCGGGCTCCCTGCACGGAGCCTGCGTCTCCCTCGGCCTGGGTCTCTGCCTCTCTCTGGGTCTCTCGTGAATAAATAAATAAAATCTTTAAAATTTTTCCTGCAAGCTGATGCTTCACCAGCTGGTCGAGCGCCGTACGTGTCTGGTGGCCTGCAGCGTGCCCGTCCTCAGGGGCAGGTGCCGCGTGCGTGTGTGCAGAGGGGGCGTGAAGCGCGGCCGGTACCTGCGGGCCCGGCACCCGGCGTGGACTGCAGACGGCATTGGCTCAAGAAACAGAGTTTGAGTGAGTCAAGCATGATTCGAGCGTCCTCCAAAAGCAGATCTTTCCCATAAAATGCCCCCGCTGAGCCCCACACGCTCCCAGCACGCAGTCCATCCTCGGGGACGTGAGCCCGTCCCCCACGACCGTCCCCCACGACCGTCCCCCACGACCGTCCCCGTTCTTCAGGGTAACCTGACACGGCGCCGCTCCCGCGACGGCACGAGAAACGTGGTGTCTCTCTCTTTCCCGCGTGGACTCAAGCGCTTAGAAGACAAGTAAAAACTGGCTTGCAGCCAAGATGGACAGCAGGGGATTTTTCGGGCGAAATGATGGCAATTTGGAAGGAATCGACTCCGCCTTGTGACCCGTTGTAAGAGCTTATGTGGTTACGAGTCAACGGCCGACGAGATGAGGTTGAGGCCAAGACCTGCTGCTTGCTGCTTCTACGACATCTCCTGTGACCTCAGTCCCTTAGTGTTGATGTCGTCACACATTTAAAACCAAGGCGCTTCTCAAGGACTTGGAGCAGGTGGACTTGGTCCTGCAGCAAACGCCCTTGTGAGGCCGTGTCCAGCCCACCCCGCTCTGGCCTCCCGGCTCCTCCTCTCTGCCCCCAGGAGAGCAGCCTGCCTGCTGCCGGGACCCCCGCCTGCCACCAGAACACCCCACCTGCTGCCGGGACCCCGCCTGCCACCAGAACACCCCACCTGCTGCCTGGACCCCCCACCTGCCGCCTGGACCCCCACCTGCCACCTGGAACCCTACCTGCCACCAGGATCCCCCACCTGCTGCCTAGACTCTTCAACTGCTGCTGGACCCCCCCGCCACCACCTGGAACCTCCACCTGCCGCCTGGAACCCCCTGCCTGCCGCCGAGCACTCCTGCCTGCTGCTGGGACCCCCTGCCTGCTGTCTGGACCTCCACCTGCTGCCTGGACCCCCCACCTGCCGCATAGACTCCTTACCTGCCACCTGGATCCTCCACCTGCCACCGGGACCCCCGCCTACTGCCTGGACCCCCTGCCTGCCACTGGGACTCCCCACCTGCCGCCTGGACCCCCGCCAGCCACCAGGACCCCTGCCTACCACCTGGTCCCCCACTGAGCACTGGGATCCCCCGCCTGCCACTGGGACCGCAGTGCCGAGTCCCGGTGAGATCACCCTGCTTTGCTCTGTGCCTCGTTCTTTGAGGATCTTGCCACGGAGCCAGGGAGGTGAGCTCCTCCTTGGCAGACTGGAGATGGGGCCTGGCGGTGGACGGCGCGCGGGGCCAGCCCTGCCCCGGCCACGGCCCCACCCGGCCCCGCCCGGCCCCGCGGGAAGGCCTACCTCCTCCCGGTGTGCTGGATGGCGCCGTCCACCACGCGCCGGCTCTCCTCCACGATGCCGAGGACACTGGCCTCTCCGCTCTGTCCTGTGGGACAAGGCGCCACACGGAAGCAGGTTCGAGCGCGTCACCCTCTGCTGTGGCCAGTGTCCCCCACGGGCTCCGGGGCCGTGTGCGGGGTCCTGACCCGGGTGCCCCGTGGGCCCTGTTTCCACGCGTCCCAGGGGCAGGGGCTCCCCCTGCAGAGCCGTCCGCCCGCCCAGACGCCCTCTGGTGACCCCGAGAGCCCTGAGTCCTGTTACCTGACCAGTGACGCGGTGAATTCATGATATTGCCCTGATTGAAGCTGTGCATTTCGCCAAGATGAATTACTCCCATACGGCAGCGGTTTCCAATGACAAGACTTGCATTTTATTTCACGCTGGAGCTATTTACCAAGTCCTATGCCCCGAGCGCTCAGTCCCCGGGAACTTGGTACACTGAGGCCTAACCCCCAGCGCCCCGTGTGAGCACAGTCCCAGGGGCCCCGTGCTGGCCTTGGGGATGAAAACGCGAGCTGTGGGGGCCGCGCGGGGGCTCGGGAAATCTGTGGGAATCGCAGAGGCAACGGGTGCCCTGCCCATGGGACCCTGCGCCCGCGGGTCCGCGCAGCGGCTCTGGAGCCAGGCCCCGGGAGCCCCCCGAGGCTGCACCGCCGGCCCGGTGCTCACGTCGGCTCCGCTGCCCGGGGATCGCTGGGACGGAGGCGGGAGGTGCTCCCGGCGTCAGGGGCGGCTCTGCTCCCCGGTCCCCGCCGCCAGCCCCCCGAGCGCCCCTCCTCAGGTGCGACCCGTGACCCCTCGGTGGCTCCCGGCCTCCCGGCCAGCAAGGCCCGGCGAGGACAAGCTCAGCGGCGGCCTTTCGTCCCTTCCTTCACCTTCCAGTGCTGACCTCCCGCAGCCGTTCGGTCCGCGCTCACCTGCTCACCTGCCGCGGGGCTGGGAGGGCCTCCACCTGCGGCCCGGTAGGCGGCGGCACCTGCGCCAGCCTCGTAGAGCAAACAGCTGCTAGGCCTGTGCCACGCGGGGCGGCCGCCAGGACCCCGGGGCCGTGGGGACCCTGCAGGGCCTCCCTGGGGCACCGCGCTCGCCGTCGGCTGGAGCCCGTCCCCTTGGGGACAACTTCTCGGCCCTGTGCACCCTTCACCTCGGGTTCGGGTGCTCCCGGCTGCTCCTCCCGACACGCCGCGGGGTCCGGCACCGGGAAACGCATTTCAGTCCGTCCTCCCCGTGGCCTCCTCAAGGGCGGGCTTGAGCTCGTCCGCGTCGGGGTCTCCTCCCGAAGGCAGACCGAGCGCTGGCTCTCGCCGGGCAGTGGCCGGGGCCAGTTAGCGGGTCCGCGGCGCAGGCGACCCCGGACATTGGCGGCCGTTAGTGGGGCCGTGGGGCTCCGCCCATCCTGTTGGGCCTCCTCTCCCCCCTCCTCTCTCCTCCCCGTCCTCTCCTCCCCCCTCCTCTCTCCTCCAGTGTCTTCCGACCAAGCCTTCACTGGCATTTTCACATCAGCGTCACAGGCTTGCGGGTTATTCTTCAGAGCGTGTGTATGAAATACGTTCTGGTGCTGACAACCCTCGCCCAGGGAAACCTGATTCTCCGGTGTGACCGTCCCTGGCGGCGTCTGCAGGAGCTGGGTCGGTGGGCTTTCGGGTTCAGGGCCGGCTCCAGCTTGGGGGGGTTCCCCACACCCCGCAGCGGCCGTCGCTGGCCGTCCCAGATTTCCGATTTCCACTCAGTCCTGCAGGATCCGCCTGGAGGTGGCGTCACAGCCCAGGGCGTGGGGGCTCAGCCCGCAGGACACAGGCCACAAGTCCCAGACCGGCAGCTGTGCCTCTGGCCCACGGCCACGCCTGGGGGGCTCCGAGGACCTGGTCCTTAGCCCCTTGACTCTGCAGAGTGGCCCGCGGAGCTCAGGAAACACTCGATCCACTAGTTTGCTCAGGGATGCAAGTCAGCAGCCGGAGGACAGATGTGTGGGGTGAGGTCCCCATGACGCTTGGGGCCAGCTCAGCGGGGGCCTTCTGTTCCCCAACCCGGACGCGCTCCAAGCCCGTGCTTCTGGGGTTGTAAAGGCTTCGTTACAGAGTCACGGTGACCAAGTCACTGGCCATTGGTGCCGGGTCCACCCTCCGGCCTGTTCCTTCCCCAGAGGCGGGGTTGGGGCCTCGCATCCCATGGTGGGTCCTGCGGCCACCAGCCCCCACCCCGGGTCACCTGAGAGCTTTCCACGTTCTCCTTATTAATGTCACAAAGGGGTCCTGTGGCCACTATCAGGGGAGACCCTGAGTGTTTAGGGGCCTGTGAGCAAGAAAGGGGAGCAGACTGTCTACACAGGAGACATCCGTCCTGGTGTGGAGGACTGAGTACGTCCTGTGCGATCACGGCAGCGCAGACGTGGCTCCTGAGATCCTCTGTCCTGCCTGGGGCGGCGGGCCCGCCCTTCCTTCCGCGCCCTGCACCCCCAGCGTCTCAGACCTGGCGACTCTGCACCTGCCCTCTCCCTTCTGGAGAGTTCCAGGGCGGGTCCGACCGGAGGACACCTGCCTTCCGAGGCGGTCCCGGCTCCCCAGGACGTAATCGTGTACGTGCGGGCGCTGGAGCCTGGGAGGCCGGGGCCAGTAACCCCCGTGCTGCCCAAGGGAGCAAGTGGAGCGTTTCCGGAGTGCTCGTGACCAGCAGGGAAGGGCAGGGGCGCCCGGACCTGCCTTCCGGAGGCCGCACCCCACGGAGCCCCCCGCGTCGCTGCTCCCTGACCTGGGACTGGTTTCGCTCCGAGCCCTGCGCCAGGGGCCGTCCTGACGGAGGCGGCTGGCCGAGACCCGATGGGCCGGAGGAGGTTGCCACTTCCCTGGCGCGGCACATCCTCGCCGCGGCTTGTTTGCAGCTTCCCGCGGGGCTGGCGGCGCCTCCCATGGCTCCCGGGCATCGGTTCTCCGTGGCAGCTGCAGCTTGTGGCGCTTGCCGTGGGGGTGATGGTGCATCGGTCTGGACTCTGCACGGACGACGCGCACCCCCCCCACCCTGTGCTGATGAACACGACCTCCGTGGGGACCTCCCCCGGTCTGCAGAGGGCACTCGCCCTCTCCTTAGGCTCGCGGGGCCATGCAGGTATTTTCAAGCAAAAATGGAATCTCCCAGGACGCCCGGGGGGCTCAGCGGTTGAGCATCTGCCTTCGGCTCAGGACGTAACCCTAGAGTCCTGGGATCGAGTCCCACGTCGGGCTCCCTGCATGGAGCCTGCTTCTGCCTCTGCCTGGGTCTCTGCCTCTCTCTCTGTGTCTCATGAACAAATAAATACAATCTTGAAAAAAACCCTAAACCTCCCTCCACCACCAACTCATTCTTGCCCAGAACGTTCAGGCGCCGCCGTTTACTGCCCCTGAGCTGAGCCCGCCTGGGTCCCACTCTGGAGCTGTGCCTTAGTACGAGGGGGCCCCGGCCTCGCTCCTGCCCCCAAACAGCCTGACCCTCAGGTGTGCGTGTCCAGGACCTACATGTGTCCTTGACCGTGTGTCAGCTGGTCTGTGGTCCAGGTGTGGGGCTTCCATGGAAGGACCCAGAAGACAGTGAGCTTGGACACAGCTGCACCTCTGGCCTCTGGGGCCCCCGGAGGTGACCGGGCCCTGGACCCGGGCCTCTGGGCCCCCTTGGGTGGCGATCCTCTTCCCGGCTGCCAGCCCGACGAAGACCCCACCCGGTCCGGTGATAAGAACCCGAACTCACGCAGAAGCACAGCAGCATCACTAGTTAACTCGGCTGCAGTGAAGTGTGACCATCTCTGAAGGTCTACCACGGGCGATCATGCCGTTTCTAAGCTGCTGTTAGCCGGTCGTCAACCGGGAAAACAATAATCCGTTATATTAATGAATGCAAACTGGGAGCACTGGGAGAGAAAATATATCTTCTGAGTGAGTAATTTGTGACGTAAGCAGTTAATAAGGCAGCTTCCAAAATACGGCAGTTGGCAACAAAATACGCCGGAGCGCAGCGTTCTGGTCAGACGGTGCATTGTGCGTCCCTCATACACGTATTCCGGGTTTAAGCAGGAAGAAAATCCAACTCTGGGAGACGGGGCAATAACAGAGCTAGCGACGCTGCAGAGACCACATGTCCCGGTTTTTTAAACTGTGATTCCCGAATCCAAAAATGTGCCGCAGGCAGGCGGCGACGGTCTGACGAAGGCTCCGATGCATGACCACCCGGTCACGTTTGCCACCCGACTTCTAGCTTTGCTAGTTTGTGGTTTTTATGGAAGGAACGAAGTAAGAGGACCAACTCCTTCACTGGCAACACGTCTGCTGGACAGGCACGGCGCGGGCGGCTGGGGTGGGCGCTCAGCCCCGTCTGTCACCCAGGACCCTGCTTCCAGGACATGCATCATTCACAGGAAACGCTTCTACGGCAAAGGCATGAGCAATTTCTCCCAAAGAAACTTTTTTTTTTTTTTTTAGATGTTCAAGCAGGTAATACGGGGATTCTCAATGATCAGAGGATGCGTGGGGCTGTTCCGGGGTCCCCCGACCCTCCCCCGGGGCGACCGTGGACAGTGACCTCGTCGAGGGTCGATGGTCACAGACCTAGTTGTTACTCACCCCACAGGAGGTCCCGGCCCCCGAGGAAGAAGGGGAGGAGGCCGCGCGCGAGGGCCACCAGCAGCGTGACGCCCAGGACGGCGAGCGCTCTCACCCCCCAGGCGGAGCCGGCGGGGACCAGGCCGACCATCACCATCGGGGCAGCGTCCTCGGGGCGGCTGTTCCGGGAACTCGGTCGTCAGCTGGACGCTCTCTCCGCGGCTCTTCCCTACTCGTCTCGACACCGGCCCCGACCCCACAGCTTGCGTCTGAAGCCCTGGAGACTCCGGTCGCCTCCCGGACCGAGGGTGCGGCTGTGCGGGGCCGAGGCTGCCGCCCTATAAACCCTCCAGTGCCCACTCGAGCGTCAGGAGCCGCGGTGGCTCCGGGGCCTTGGGTCTGCGCCAGGCTGCCTGGTGCCGTCACAGGTCCTCGAGAGGCGGAGCCCCGGCCCCGCGATGGAGGAAGGGGGGAAGGGTGTGCGTGTAGACGGGGAGAAGCCAGCAGGTCGCCCCTTGGATGTGGCCATTCCCGGTGGGCCGCGAGCCCGGGCGCCTGGGGTCACGGTCCTGGGTCCGCACGGCCAGCGGGCGCCTGTCCCGGGCTGGGCGGGCACGGACACCGTGTGCAGGAGGCAGGGCTCCCGCCGACCTGGGGCCGGTCTGCATCGCGGGCTGGAGACTGGCCCAGGCCCCTTGGCCGGTGGGGGCAGGGTTTCGGGGTGGGCCTCGTGGACTCAGCAGGAATGCGTCAGCCTAGCTCGCGGCCACGGGGCCTCCCTCGGGCTAACGATGTGTGGCCGGCGGCCTTCCGTCGCCGAGGTCCTCACGGGTCCTCACAGACCTGCCCTGAGGGGCGAGGGGCGGCAGGGGTCCAGCAACGTCACATCCAAACCCGGAGCCCGGGACTCGGCACACAAGATGGGGCGACGGGCCTCGAGGTGGCGAGGGGCAGTCACAGGCCCCCCGCGGGACGGAGGCCACAGGCCTGAGGGCGGCGGCAGGGGCCGGAGGGCTGGGACCACGACCACGCAGGTGCCCCAGAGCCGGAAGGATCGTGGGGTGGACCCTCCTCCGGGGCCCCAGAAGAAACCAGCTCTGCGGCCCGGATCTGCTCCCCTGCGGCGCCCTCAGCTCGGACCTGCAGGACTCCGGGGACTAGGTCTGTGCTGGCCAAGGCTCGGAGCGCGTGCTGGTTTGTGGCAGGGGCACGCGTGTGGACGGGCGGTGGCCGTCGGGGACGCCCGGGGACTGAGGAGGGCGGCGTTCAGAGCCTGAGCCGGACCGTCGCTGGCTCACGGGCGCCCCTCCCCTCCGTCACGGTGACAGCGGGAAGCCCCGCGTCGATGGGCCTGGGGAGGGGGACGCACACCCGTGGGAGGCTCGATCGCCCCAACCCGTCTACACAGCTGTTCTGCAGCATTTCTTAGGCGACGCCCTCACCTCCGGCCCAGCATCAACTGCAGAAATAATCTGTCGGCTAGAAATACGCAGATTTAGCTGTTACTTTGTGAGTTTCTTCCAAGATCCACTGAGCCCATAAGGGTGCGGCCAGAAAGCAAGGAAGACGCGCGGCACGGAGGGGTCGAGGGATGCAAGGGGCAAAGGCCCAGGATGGCAGCGCATCCGTTTCTAGAGACTTTGGCAGGAAGGTTCCCCGGGGAAGAGCCTCTGGGGGAAGATGCAAGGACGCAGCACGCCGGGAGTGGGAGGGCGGGGAGGGTGGGGCAGGAGGTCCAGGTGGGGAGGGTGGGGCAGAAGGTCCAGGTGGGAGGGTGGGGCAGGGGGTCCAGGTGAGGCGAGAGGTCCAGGTGGGGTGGGTGGGGCAGGGGGTCCAGGTGGGGCAGGAGGTCCAGGTGGGCACAGGAGGTCCAGGCGGCACAGGTGGGGCAGCCTGTGCGGAAAAGCCCGGAGTTCTACAAGGAGGTGGCGCCGTAAGCATCCTGCAAGCATCACAGGCTCTGCGGGGAGGCAGCCAGGGCCGGGGGGAACAAAGGGGGGGGGGAACGGCGAGTGTGGGAAGGACGCCAGGTGCTCCCAGGGAAGGACGACAGTAGGAGGAACGTGACGGGAAGGAATAGATTTCTTCTTCCACCAAGACAAAGGAGGACAAGAAGTTCCAGTGGAAACAAGGAAACTCAGGGTAGAACCCGAAGCGGCAAAGCGCGGTGGGATGTCCGGGGCGTCGGGGCCTCACAGACGCCAACACGTCCCTGCACCCGGGCCGAGCACAGAGCACCGAGCACCCAGGCAGCCGGGGTGGGGGTGCACAGTGTGCAGGCCGCCGCCCTCAGGCCCCCGTCCCGGCCCCAGGGCTCACTGCTGGGGAGACGTGGGTCTGCTCAGGCTGGTGCTCGTGCGCCCCTCACTCCCGGGATTCGGGGATCCAGAAGCTTCATTTTCACTCCCATTCCTGCTGCAGGCCAGTGAGCCATCGCCTGGTTCTGGAAGATTCCATCCAACCTCCTTTCCAGGCTCCGCGGCGGCTCCCAGTCGGCCACGGCGATTCCCGGGGTGCTGGCTTTGCTCCCAACGCCTCCTCCCTCCGGTGTCCTGTGCACTCCCCTCCTGACACGAGGGCTGCTGGGGAGCACACGGTCGTCCACACCCCAGTGGGGTTTCTTACCAAAGACTTCTTTTTCTTTTTCTTTCTTTTTTTAAAAACTTATTTGTTCACGAGAGACGCAGAGACACAGGCAGAGGGAGAAGCAGGCTCCATGCGGGGAGCCCGACGCGGGACTCGATCCCGGGACCCCGGGGTCATGCCCTGAGCCGAAGGCAGATGCTCCACCGCGGAGCCTCCGAGGCGTCCCCGAAGGCTTATTTTTCTACTCAGTTATGATATTTTTTTTTTAAATCAAAGGACTCAAAAGCGATCAGTGTAAAATGCGTGGATGCCACACGGATTCAGGGGCTCCTCCCTGGGGATGCGTGATCATCCGCTCAGGATCCTGCCCCCCTGTTCTGCTTTGTACCTCAGGACGCTGAGCATCACCAAGTGCATGTTGTCTGCCGACACACACGGGGCATGCTCCGAAGCTCTGCGTGCGGGACATCTTACGGGAACGGTTTTCCAGGCGCCGCGCTTCATTTCGCGTCTGCGCTGGAGGCTGTCCCATCAGGTTTCCCACAGCTTTTTCATGATGCAACATGGACCTTATTCTGTTAAGAAAGAAAAGCGCGTCAGCTCATAGAGTGCAGAGCACCGGGCTCTCGGAGCCAATGGTCCCGCGTGAAGGGACGCTCGCGCGGTCGTGCGTTGTGTGTGTGCCACGGGGTCACGGAGGTCAGCGACGAGGGCACAGGGCGGAGCGGCCTCAGCGAGAGTTTGGGCTGGGAATGAGGGACGTGAGCCCGCGAGGGCGTGGGAGGGAGCGCACGGGCGCGGGGCGGGGGGGGGCGAGGCGCTGGCGACTCGGGGTGGACCGTGGACCAGGGAGCAGGGACGATGGGGAAGGACGGACAGATGAGAGAGAACGAGAGAGAGATTCTTACTCAGATGACAACCCGCCGCCTCCCGCAGGAATCCCGAGTGTTCCCGGGAGGTTGTTTGCCTTTGCTTCTGCTGCCGGTCGGGGTGTCCTTGTGCGTGACATCGTTCCTATGAGGACAGGCCGCCTCGCCGCCGTCACAAGGCCGCGCAATGTCACAAACCACGGTGGCTCCGGGCATTTGAGAATACAGAAGTCACCGGTCTGCCGGACGCCTGCCTGCCCGGGGTCCCCGCACCCCCTCAGCCTCGCCGGCGACACCGCACCAGGCACCCAGAAGGTGGAGGCACCCGGGAGTCTCCCGCCGTCTCATCCCCACGGCGGGAAACCGTGTGGCAGCTCCTCCCACAGTCACAAAGCAGAAGGGGTCGGCGTGCAGGGCCCAGTTCCCCGCCTGGGCGGACGACCCGGAGAAATGAGACGCTGGCACCCCGCGAGCACTGAGGTGCTCCGCACAAGCACCCCGGAGCCTCAGCAAGAGGCCGACTGTCCACGCGCTGAATAGTCAGCCTGCAAAGACGGACCTCCTGACGCCCGCTGGCCCGGCACGGACGGGCCTCGGGGACACCGTGCTCCCTGGGATGAGGCCGTGGCCGCAAGACCAGTGCTGGAAGAGTCCACCCTGACCAGGCCCTAGGTCCACACGGGGTCCCTGCCCGTCCCTCTGGCCCTGGTTCTGCAGAGGCCCCGCCCTGGGAGCTCGCGTGGGGTTAGCCCCGGGCTCCGACGCTGCAGACCCTGCAGACGCGCCCCTCCTCCTCCTCCTCCTCCTCCTCCAGCTGCAGGTTGGTGCCTTTTACGATTCGTCCTTGATGAGTCACCCACTCGGGACACTGCTCCCCCGGCCCTGGGAGCTGCTCTGGCCAACAGCGTGGCTCTGCAGCCGAGTGGGAAGGGGTGTGGGGAGCCTGCGGACCCCCTGCAGGGCAGCCGGCCATCCGTCCGTCCGTCCGTCCGTCCATCCGTGAGACACACAGCTGGGGTCAGGGTGCTCTGAGGCCGGAGAGGAGAGCAAACCAGTGGGTCCCCGGCCGGGCCTGGAGCCGCGCGCCCATGCACGCGGAGGGTGTGGTGCCGGGCGGGGACGGCTCGGCGGGCGCAGCGTCCAGGGAGGGGACGGGGGCGTCCTGGGCGGGACCGGAGGCCGCCGATGGCACGAACCGCAGGCCCGAAGACGGCCACGGTGCTGCGTTTTCTGTGTCATGTATTTCACTACGATCACCCCCCAGTGTTGGCGGCTTCTGTGTCCCCCGCCCGTCCTCACTCACCCGGCCTCAGGGGGTGTCCCCCGCCTGGCGCCGCGTCGTCCCTGCAGGCCCGGGTCAGTGTGTGCTGCTGTCCCCTGCCCCGGGCAGCGCCCGTCCCACGTGCCCCTTGCTGGCCCTGCTGGTGGCCTCGAGGTTTCCCAGCTGGTGACGGTCCGTCCGCAGCCCAGGGCGTGACACACACCACGGCCCCTCACGCGGCTCCCCGGGACGCCGCCCCGCGCGCCCGCAGCCCCCGCATGCATGTCCCTCCCGGGCCACCCCCTCTGGCCTCCGTGCTCGCCAGGTGTGTCCCCGACGCCTGCCCTCGAATGCCCAGCGGGCGGCGCACATTCGTCCCAGCGCTTCCCGTCACCGTCCTGTCTGTACCACCTGCAGGCGGCGACACCGCCCTCC